GACTGGTCCAAACCCCCTCAAAATATATAAAGAAGACAGTCTAGGCCCAACCTTTCTTGTTTTAAAGGTGTTGTGTTCCGGATGCAATTCGATAGGTCAAATTATCAGGTTTGAAGGAAAACACTGTATTCTGACACTATAGTTAAATTACAAACAAAAGAAAGAACAATTGGAATAACAACTTTACTGGAAAGTTTAAAAGAATAATAGATTGTTTAACTACTAAACAGCAGCAGTTCGAAAATAGTAACATCCCATAAACACACCCTTGGCAAATGCAAATTCTGTAAAGTAGATTGTCTTATGTGCAATTCTCCAGCCCAGGAGGAAAGAACATTAAGAAAATAACTCTGAGACAGATGAAAAATCAAGCGTTTTGCTGTAGCAGGGAAAGATGTACAGCAACTTCCAAACCCCAACAGCCACTACAAAGTCAAACTAAAATCCTGGTTCTATTGGAGCTTAACACCTCACCTTCATGATGCTTCTTTTCTTCCAACTTGAAAAAAAACACCAAAGCCTAACAAGCTTTTTACTTTATTGACTTGGAACAGACCAGTCGTTACTTCTGCCTCAATAAAATAAAACAGGACAGAATTCACCTCCTAAATCCATTGTGTTGTCACACCAGCTTCAATGGTAGACCTGGCTGATTTCCTCTCTACTCGCTGGCTGGCAGCATGTACCTTATGCCTTGCTCCTCTGACTCATCATCTTTACAGACCCCTTCTCTTGGTTGAGTTGAACTCGGCAATTTCAGGCAATATGATCCACATGCTTACACCTGTACTATTAGGCTTCTTGACTCCAATTTGTTATAGCTGCTGTTGCCACATTGGCAGCATTTTATGGTTAGTACTGCAACCTGCCAAGTTTTCACTACTTGATGAACCCACCTGTTTTCAGCCAATTGGGTTGTCTTACTGGTGGCCAGCTCCATCAAGGTAGCAATTTTGAAAGTTGCCTTGAAATCCAGGCCTGGTCTCTCCTTGTTCATAGATTCCATTGGATGGAATTGTGTCAGAGCCACAAACCAAATGGTTCCACCAAGCATCTTGGAGGAACCCTCTGAATTCGCAATGTTCCACTAACCTCTTTAAAGGTAGCCACAAATTTTCTAATACTATGTGTAGCTCTTGAAATGTCTTCTCTGGGTGCACGAGACTCCTTAGGTCTTGCTCTCAATGGTATCTAGTAAAACGGGTACCGTGATGTCCTCAGCCACTTTGTTTGCCTTTAAGAGCAAAGCAAAGCAGTCTGTGTATAAAGTCTAATTTTCCGACTCTTCATTAAATGGTTCCATTGCTCCAAAGTGGCCCACCATTTTGTTTTCCCATCACTCAAGTCTAGTAGCCATTTGCAGCCCAAGTCTCCTTGTTGGAATGCTTCTAGGGCAGCTACTCCCTCACTGGTTATGCTAGTGTACTGAACCTCCCTTGCAGCCCGAGTCCCCTCACAACAGCTCTCCACCATGTCTTCAGTAAATCCTACGTGCATACTTTCTTCTTCAGCCCTTGGCTAAAGTCCTCTCACAACTGCCACTCTTGGCCTATTCCTAGAATCAATGGCTGCCCGAATCGTCTTGCGACCGCTGGCCTCCATGTTAAATATCTAATATTGAGCCGTATCCGAAGTTCAGCCATATCTCCTCCAAACCAAACAAAAAAGCATTTTCATGCATATTGGGGTTTGGATCCTACACTCACTGCCAGTTATTAAGTTTGTCATTCTCTTTGAACAGGTATTATACACAAAGGTGGCACACGTAAAACACTGAAGAGTCATTTTTATTTTTAGATGCTTACATCTCCACAACTGCTTCTAGACTGACCTCCTGGCATCCTCTTGTTAACCATCAGCACTCTCCTCTTATGCTATAAAAATGTTATTTTCTCTCCAAATTGATAGTTCTTGCAACTTGCCGTGTTGAGTGTAAGATGAAAGCATGATTAATGTAACTTTTTCTTCCCCCAGCAATATTCAAATTAGAATGGGGTGACCTACATCACTGCCGAATAGAGACTACAAAATTCTGCCCAAGAAAGTTGTCAATCAGGTCAAGTCAGCTCTGGAGTCAGTGATTCTCCTAACCAGAACTTTGCTGATTCTGGCAGGAAGATCTCTAACAATCTCACATAACTTATGCCTATGTATGAGACAGTGGGGTGGATACCTGCCTCATCGGCCTGAACTAGGAGAAAGCCTTAGTCAGAATGAAGAATGTATTCTCCAGAATGCATTAAGGGACGGTATCTGTAAACTTATATAATTGCTCTACACAAACATCAGTAGCAGTTTCAGTCAATGGGTGGGCATCAGAGCTTTCCAATAAAATCTGGAGTCAGATATGACTGCACTCTCCTCTCCTGTCTGTGCATTGCATAGAACCCTTAATTGAATCCAGCAGGATGGTTCCAGACACGAGAAGGACAACTATTCCAGGTATACTGAGGGCAATGTGGTATACTCACTGCACAAGGTTGATGCTACCATCTTCTGTTTTCATCTGCAGTCATTGCAGATGCTAATCAATTGCACAGTTTGAATGGGCCTTGGGAGCCAAGCTAACGTGCGACAAAAGTCGAGGTCATATTCGTTAGGAACAGGGCTCACTAGCTCCTTGTCCACTTTATTGTCAGGTCAAATTACCTAAAGGTGCTGGAGATATGGTTTGGAAGGGATGGGCCTTGGGCTAAACAGTGGAATAAGTGAGTAGCCATTGCCAAACAAAAACTGACTGACCCTTTCTCTCCATTGCAGGTCTGGCTCATTTCCCACTGCTGTGTCATGGCAATCACCTGAGCCATTAGCTGCTTATCTGGATTTAAAGATGGACAAGATTTGCAGGGATACAATGTAGAAGCCTTCAAATACACATGGAAAAAACACACCCAATGTCATCCTCATCCTGATGGTTAGGTGTGTGCAGCTGCATCAAGTTGTGAGTAGATCCTTGGTATGCAAACACCAAATGTCACTTCATACTGAAGTGCCACCCAACTCTGGTGTGAAAGATGCAATTGCTTTGGAACATTTCAAGCAGTTGGATTGTGCTGTACCACGTGTCCCTTGTACAGTCATTAATGCAGATGAACACATTTTGATGACAAATATACCACAAAATAGTCAGCAAGTAGGGCCCTTTGGGAAAAGAAGATGGTAGATGGTAGATGTTGATAGCAGCAGAAGAGATTGTGAAATGCAATAGTTTTTGTTGAGGTTCATCCCAAGCACTCTGTAGCATAGGACTCTGAGTTTCTTTCTATCTTAGGTAGCGGTCACAGTCAGACAAACTAATTCCCAAGAACAAATTGGTCATAACAGACATTTAGATACAATAGACATCCCAAGCACTCTGTAACATAGGACTCAATTGTACCTGGAGAACCAAAATCTGAATGAAAGATTCTCTTTTGCCTGCTAAGGCAGGGAGTTGTCTTTGACCAAGTGTTGCAGAGTAGCATATTGCAAGGTTTAGGGCAATACACCGCGGGATATACAAAAGCTTGGGGCAGTTACCGCAGAGAAATGTAGAAAGATTTCATTCTAAGGTCTTTGCACCAAATGCCTAAAGCGTCACCTGCTCCACATTGAGGGGCTGGACACTGTGGGACTCCTTGGATTGTATTCCTTATGAAGAATGCGCATTATGTCATGAATCCAATGGATAGAATGTGCAGCAAATTAAGCCTCACTATTTCATGAATCATCACAAATGTCTATTATCTCGAGAACAATTAGTTTGTCTGATTGTGACCGCTATCTAAGATAGAAAGAAACTCACACAATTCTTATAACCAATGAAGTAAATAAATTTTAGTACACGAAACTTATCCAGTAACATGTGGCAAAAACAGTATTAGTTTCTAATATGAGCCTAAAAAGTCACCAAGTAGTATGCTGGTGAAGACAGGAAATGATACACTGGCCTTCACAGCAAGAGCATTCAAGTACATCAGCAGGATGTCTTACTGCAATTGTACCGGGCCTTTGTTAGAGTACACCTGGAATAGTGTGCAGCTGTGGTCACCTGCTTGAAGTACAACGTTCTGGCCATAGAGGTGGAGGGGCGGGAAGAGAAGAGAAGAAAAGGTGTGGAGTCAACAAAGATAAACTAGACTTATTCCTGGGATGACAGAACTGACTTAAGAGAGACTAGGTCAGTTGGGAGTAAATTCACTGAAGATTAGAAAGATCTCAGAAACTTATAAAATTTTAACACGACAACACAGGATAAGCACAGGAAGGATGTTCCTGATGATCGGGGAGTCAAATGAGATGAGGAGAAATTTCTTCATTCAGAGTGTGGTAAACCTGTGAAACTCTCTGCCACTGAAACCTGTTGAGGTCAAAACATTGAATGTTGCCAAGTAGGGTAGTTCTTAGGTCTAAAGGTATCAAAGGATATGGGGAGAAATCAGGAACTGGCTACTTAGTTGGATGATCAACTATGATCACATTGAAAGATGGAGCATGCTCAAGAGCTACTCCTGCTCCTATTTTCTATGTTTCTAACCTATTTCCTTCAGAGTGAAAGAGAGGAGAGAGATTTGGAACCCAATGGTCTCTTCTCAGTTCTGCAATGAAACTTGCTCACAACCAACCACATCTGGGCATTTCTTTTTCTTGAACATAAAAGGCACTTAAAGCCTGCTAGTCTCAAAAAGCATCATATCCAGCTTCTTCCAAAGGTTACGTATTTTCATACCACAAATGAATGAACATCACAGTTCCACTTTTACTTCCAGTTGTAAAGAAGAAACTAACAATCTAAACTAACATTTTCCATTTTAATACTTCCAAAAATATATGTAGCCCTTACAATTATGAAGAAAAACAAGATTGACATTGAATTGAGGGACTTAAGTGTGGAATATGGTTCTACAGAGAAAAGCTTATGTTTTGTAATTTCTAGTTTGAAATATTTTGCACTTGACTGTATACCTGACACAGAACATATTTTGCAAATATTAAGACTATTATAATAGTATTGAATATGCTACAGGAAGACAAGTTGAATTTTATTGCAAATTCTGTACAAATTTTATGAATAAAGCATACATTTGGGATAAACGTGTCACTTTCCAACTTTCAATGACTTACTGTTACCCCACTAGGTTGACTTTGTATCCTGGGATTATTTTAGATACCCTCATTTACTCTGTCCTACCCTATCTTTATGAATCTCTTCTGCCTTGCATTTCACAAACACCTTTCAGTCCTAACATCGGGTTTCTCCTTTTAAAATCTCATCACAGTCGCAAAACAGCAATTGTTAATCTGTTGATCATGTTGTGAAATTGGAGATGGTGCTTAACTTGAAATAACTGAAAACTCTCAGTAACTGAAATCTGAATTTAAATTAAGGGCGAGCCTTCATTATGTACTCAAGTTCTGCAGTGAAGTTTTAGCCAATAGCTTTGTGGTTGAAGGAAAGAATACTATGAACATAGCAAAGAACACTTTTGTGTCTGTTTAAATCATATATTCATGATATTTCAGAAGGACAAACTATAATTGGAAAATAATCCCTTAGAATAAAGAAGGATATATATTAATTTACTTGCCTGTGAATAATAACGAGAATGTCTACTAAGCTAATTCTATTTCATACGTTCCTAGAAGCAAAAGCTTAAACAAAATAAATTGAGACACAGGATCTCTTCAAATGGAATAGGTGAAAAGATGCGGCAGATAAAAATTATGTGATGTATAACTTGGTAGCCAGTGATGTGCTTGTCAATGCTTGGATATGGAACATTCTTATTCATGCTGCTATAGCAGTAGCAAGGATCTTCAGACAGATAAAGTGCAGATAATCAAAACCTTCTTTCATTATGACTGACAAAGTGGTTTAAACTCAGCTTCACATCAGCAGCACAAACTGAATTAGTAATGAAGTGCCATTTTGCAGTCATATCTTCCTGTACTCAGTGAAAGGAATCTGAAACAATATAATAACAGAAATAAAAGATTTATAAAGAACAATAAATAATGAAAAATAAATTTTAATATTTCTATTCATTTCCATGATATTAAATTGTATACACCTCGACATTTGAAAGTATTATTAGTTACACTGGAACAGCAGTCGGGGTAGCCGGCTGTCAGTGTGAAAGATGACAGATCAGAACCACCAGTGAAATCACAGAGGCAGGTGTGGAACGGTTAAATAATCCACAGTCTGTGCAGCTGGCCAGAGCTGGGAACTCAGTTGAGATTTACAAGTGAAAGTGACAAAATGTTACAGCAGTATCAAAAGAGGATTCAGAAAGCGAGACAAATACGTAGGAGGAAATCCAGTGACTAGAGTGAACTTTCTGAGAAGAGAAATAGAATCATTGGCATTTTGTAATGACGACAAACAAGGACAGAGTAAAATAAGTACAGGAAAGAAAATATGTAGATAATCCTTAATTATACAGTTAAAAGTCATATGCTTAGAGCTCATCCATTATCTGCACAGTGACACATTGTCAGACAATAAAAAACTTGTGGCAGGAAACAAAAAAACTTTGCATTTATGACATTTTTAATGTAGTATAATGTCCCAAGATGCTCCAAAGAAATTTATTAGACAACATTTATCACTTTTAGTGTTTCAAAATAGGTGACCAAATGCTTCATCAAAGTGGCAGGTTTTCATTTATGACTTAGGAGAGGAGAGAGATAGAGATAGAGGAAACTTAGAAAGAGCATTTGTGTTGAAGGCAGCCGAAGGCAATGACTGTCAATGATGGAGTGATGAAAATGAAGTTCTGCAGGATGGAGGTGTACAGATATCTTGAAGGGTTTTTGTGGGATAGAAAAGCTTACAACACAAGGGAGTGGCAAGGCTGTAGGGACTTTTAAGGGTAATGCAAACCATCAAAAGGGAGGGAGGAAGAGAGGGGGGCCAAATCAAAATGGAGTTGAAGGGGTATAGGGATTTTAATTCTTTTTCTATCCAGAAGTGCTCTTACACATGGCTGAATGGGCTTTATTTCCACCACCAAACCAACCATCATATTTTGCAATTATCAAGCATCACCAGTAAATCACCCATGTTTGCAATTGAATAATTCACATGCAAAGCCTTTTAAGAGCAACACAAACCAGCAAAGGACAAGGAGATTGAAGGAGAAAGATTCAGCTGTCTGAGAAGAGTGCCAAAAGAAAGAAGCCAGAAAATATTTCACATTCTCAGTCCAAAAGAGAGCAGGTTTTTTGTCATTGCATCGCTCTGTTTACTGGGTCCCTTGCTGTTTGTCATGTACATTAATGATCTAGACATTAACGTAGGTCGTATGATGGTTAAGTTGAGAAATGACAAAAATTGGTGGCTAGAAGGTAGCAAGGAGGAAAGTTATGGATGAAAAGACAGGCGGGTCAGATGGGCTGAATGGTGGCAAATTGAATTAAAAACTGAAAAGTGTATTTTTAAGAGGACTAACAAGGCAAGGGAGTACACATTGAATGGTAGGAAGTAAAGAAAGATCAGAGAGCCCTTGGCGTGTAGGTCCATAGACCCTTGAAGGCTGCAGGACAGATAGACAAGGTGAGGAATAAGAAGCCATATTGGATACTTGCGTGTATTTGTCAAGGCACTGAATAAAGGTTAAGATAGAACAGAACATAGCATTAATTTCACCACAGCTGGAGTACTGTGACCAGAGGTGATTCACCAGGATATTGCCTGGCCTGGAGCAATTCAGCTACGAAGAGAGACTAGATGGTTTTGGGATAACAAGGTGCAGAGCTGGATGAACACAGCAGGCCAAGCAGCATCAGAGGAGCAGGTAGGCTGATGTTTCAGGCCTAGGCCCTTCTTCAGAAAATGGTTTTGGGGCTGCTTTTTTTAAAAAAGAGAAGAAACGTAATACCTGAAACACTGCTTCTTTCTTCCAGATGCTGCCTGGCTTGCTGTGTTCTTCCAGCCTCCTGTTTGTCTAAGCCAGAAGTGAACCTCATCGAGGCATGCAAAGATATGTGGGGCAGACAGAAAGAAATGCACAACACCACCCCCCACCACTATCACTTGTAGAGGGGTCAATAAACAGACTTAGTGTGGATTTAAGGAAAGTTTTTTCACTTGACGGTGGGTACTCTGAAACTCCCTAACTAAAAGAGATAGGAACCATCAAATCATTTAAAGCACCATTTAGACAGAACTTGAAACTCCATAACAGACAACGCTACGTGCGAACAGGAAATCTGAAACATAAACAAATTGCTGCAGAAACTTAGCAGGCCTGGCGGCATCTGTGGAGAGAAAGCAGACTTGACATTTCGTGTCCAACGACCCTACTTCAGAACTGAAAGCGTTGGTTCAAGTCTCACCTGCTCCTGAGGTGCGTCATGACACATTCAAACAGGTTGATGGGAAATTCCATACAAAGCTATGGGGCAAGTGATAGGAAATGGGAGGCTTTTTCTGATGAAGGGTCTAGGCCCGAAACGTCAGCCCCTCTGCTCCTATGATGCTGCTTGGCCTGCTGTGTTCATCCAGCCCTGCACCTTGTTGTCTCGGATTCTCCAGCATCTGCAGTTCCTACTATCTTAGAAAACAGATGCTCGGTCAGGATCACGGACTCAGTGCAATAAAATACCACTTTCTGTGCCGTAAAAAAAACACCAACACTGCTGGCAATTCCACGCAGGGTCTGTGGGGTTACAGTCTCTGCCAGAGCTAGCATCACTCCTTCACCAGACCGTCCACAGCCGGCCTCAAACACCACGCAGGCGCAGTGAGCTCAGTACCGTCACGACGCGGCTCCCTTGCAGAGAGCGACGCATGCGCGGACACGTCTCCAAGACACCGACTTCCTAGTGCACATGCGCAGTCTAGGTCAACGCCCTCACACACCCTCCCAACCCAACACGCATGCGCCTGACAGGAGTCGCGGCTTTCCTCAGTGAGGAGACTGTGGCGGAGTGTCCAGTAGCAGCCTGTAGGGAGAGAGGTCGAAAGTGTTGTTTGCACCACGGTGGTTGTTAGCTTCGCGTTGGCCGACGGTAAGGGGCCAGAAGGGAGGGTGGTGGCGGCGTATTTTCCCCTGCTGGTTTGGGGACGTGAGCTGGCCCTTTCGGCCGTTAGAGCGAAAGCCGCCGCCTGTAAGATGGCGGCCCGATCGCCTTTATATCAAAGGGAGTGATGGCTCAATATGGCCGACACGACCAAGGGGAAGGAGGTGGAAGCTGGGGAGAGGATGAGTTCGGGTGGTAGGGCTTATGAATCTCGGAGGCTTGTGTGTGGAGGAGGCCGGCGGAGGTTGAGGTGCTGCTGTCCTGAAGCCGTGTTCCTGGCAAGTTGTTGAAAGTGAGTGGGAGTAGTGGGGGGCAAAATGGCGGAGGGATTATTGTTCCCGGGCAGGTCAGTCATCACCTCGTCCCTCCACCTTCCAGGGAAGGAGTGGGGTGGTGGGCGGGTCGAATTGTACAGTCGTATTCGCACCCGACGACCGCGGAACATTTGACATGCCGCACCGATTCACTGCACCTCACGTCTTCGTCCCGGATCTTCAGCCTTGCTTTCCCCTGTACTTTCTCGTCCGTCGATTCTCTCGCCCTTGCGGCCCCGATTTACTACAAGGGCGGTTTCGGCGAGCGTTTTTACGATTCGGAATGGCGCGGGTCGACGACGCAGAAATCTCGGCCCTTCAGGGCGAAGACATCCCCCTGCCCTGCCCCGCCCCCCCCTTCGCGACCACCACCCAGTCACCCCTCCTTCACCCAGCAGGGTTTGAGGGTGGGCGATGCACCGGCACATTGTTATCTCACGCTGCTGATTCAGACACCGCCAGGTGTGTGTAGGCTAGCTGGGCGCTAGGTTTGTCTGGTGGTTCGTGGTCGCGAGTCACTCTGCATCGTCTGGTCTGACTTGGTGTTTTTTTAACCGGACGGAATGATTGGGGCTGGAGAAGGCGCAGGCACGGATCTAGTTCTCGGTTGGCGCGATTTTTTTCGGACGGCGCACGCGCAGGTTGCCTGCTCCGCCGGCGAATGGTCGGACGCGGCGATGGGTGAGGAGGGGGCGCCCTGTGTCTGTTTGTGTGTGTGTGTGTGTGTGTGAGAGGGGGTCGATTTGCTGTGTTTTGCTTTTGCTCCAATTCTTTCTCACCCCCCTCCCTTTCCGTACATTGGCCGGTGTGGAGGAAGGTCGCTCGGTCATGCTGTGCCGGGCATCCTACCCCTCGGTGACATTTGCCTCACAGCGACGGGCCGTGAAAATGAGCAGGGAGGGGGGGCAAAACAAGAAAGAGGCGGCATCTTGTGGAGACGTCCGAAGTTCTTACAGTGAAGACTGCTGCGTTTTAAAATGGCCGACCAGTCTTCACGGTCCCGCTCAGTGGTGGCATTCACAGCATTTCGCTTACCCGGTTTCTGTTTGGGGCGGGAAGAATGACACTGATTTCTTTTTGTGCACTTTATCGAGACTGGTTCGTTATTCATTCCGATAGTTTTCGTAATCATTTGCGTGTATTTCTAGGTTACCATTTGAAACACTTTAGCTTCAAATCGTTTACTGGTGTCTGCCCACGTCCACGCACACTTGTTTCCTCTCTTCGTGCATTTTTACCTCCTGTGGAATTCACCTTCCGGTGTGCATTTCCGAATAAAGTATCGTTTTGTCCATGTTTGTAAGCGTTTTTTGTTCTACCTCCAATGCCACAAAGGTATGGGGTCGACGAGTCCAGTTTATTTCCAGTTCTCAAGCTGTAAGCCGCAGCTTGGTATACTATTCTACAGACACAACATTACTTCGCAAAGGTGAGATCGAATGTATGACGACGGTACGATTCAAATTTAACATGTTGCAGATCAGCACTGGAGTGTTTTGTTATCAAACTTTAAGATAGTCTGTGCTTATTAAGAAACAGTGCTTAATAGATACAAAGGGCAATAAGCGAAAGCTCGACAGCATCATTTTCTCAGTCTGTGGGTACATTAAATATGATGTATTTTATTTGCATCGTGAAGGTAACGTGCAAAACCTTCATGATCGACACTGTTGGAATGTTACTACACAGTAGAATTCATGCCACAGAAGACACCCTGTTCCTTGTGTTAAGGGACAGGAAGTCTACACTAACTAACTGGTTTACAAGGTTGAGCTTGATAATTCTTTCCAGGCTTGCCTATTTTTCTCACCTATCATTTTAGTGCACTTACACAAAAGTTGAAAAGACAATTTACACAAAAAGACATTGAAAAAAATTCTGTCCATCCATGTATGACTGCACGTTGTAAATTACAGTTAAGTGATGCCTTAAAATGATCGAGAAATCTTCAATTTTCCAACCATGAAAAGCCTTTCTTCGTGGACACAAGCGACAGTTGCACACACAAGTACTGTAAATTCTCTTCTGGGCAGAATTCAACAAATATTGGCAACATTTGCCGATCATCAATCGAGTTAAGCAAAGAATAGATTATGTTCAGAAAGCAAAATGTTTTGGCTGGGGGGAATCAATTTTTCAGCTGTTTCATGATTTAGATGATTTTTGTTCACCTGACATTTGTAACTTTTCAAATGCTACGATGAAACTTTAAGACCTGATAGTCAACGGTTAGAAAATGCATGTGGTTACACCAGTTTCATTTCTCTTTATTTACCTTTTTCAATGGCTCTTAAGCCAAAGTGATTCTGTCTGATTTGTTTTATTTAGTCATTTTAACTTCTGCATGTCATGTAAGCATAATGTCTTCCCACAGCTTTGATTCTCAGCTAACGAAAAACAGAAGAAACTGCCCATTAGTATGGTTAGAGATGTCAATTTTCTCTGTTAATGTGGCTTTTGTGCTTCTCATCACAGCTGTTGTTTAGTTTGTTGAATGCCATAATAGCGGGATGGGGTTTACAAATGTCAAATTGAAAAGAATTAAATAATGCAAAAGGGCAAAATACAAGGAGGACCATCAGGTTCTACCAGATACTTGCCAGGCCATACAGAGGTAATCTGGGAGATCTTTCGGTTCTGAAAATCTATGCATGACTTCTGTTTGAGGTGATGATTCAGAAATGTTATGCAGTGTAATCTACATTAAATGCATGTTTTGCGACTTATGGCGTAGCCTGAAGATGTACAATTAAAAAAACACTACAGAATCATGTTGACATTCTTTACACCAGAAGATCATTAGCTTATCTTCATGGCAGACTAAGAGGTTGCCTGCTAACTGCTCTCTGGGGCTAAATGGCTGGAACGATTCGGTGAAGTGTGTTCCATGAGGATAAAGACATTCTAGATATGTTTATCTTGTATCATGCCTAACTTGTCAAAATATTTTATTGTCTGTGACTAAGAAATACACAAGGATTGAAAACCTGGCGAGCAGCATGCATGGGGGATGGCAATTCTCTTGTGTTCTGGTAAAATACAAATTAGAGGATAGGACACTTTTTAAGGGGATGTTTGTGTAAGAGCCATCCTTAGTGGGCAGTACATTATGAAGCTGTTTTTAGGATAGTAACTTGACTGATTTCCTACATGGTACAAAGTTTTAAATTCTTTTGAAGTCTTCAAGCAATTTATCTATCTTTCAGTAATTAAAGTTTAATTTGAACAGTATTCTTAGAACAATGGAATTGTACTCTGCACTTGCTTGTGCAAGCTACTTGGAATAGGCACAAGTTCATGAATATAAATTTCTATTTAAGCATCTTGCAAATTTTGTCAGTTTATAAAACTGCATAAAATCTATAATAATGTCAGTTCCAAATGTGGTGGAGTAATGTGCGTCCTTAATAGAAACTATTGTACTCGTGGTTATAATGGTGGGCCATAGCAATCTAACTGGCGCATTCCAGTTGTCTTCATTTTTCAAGACACTTTTTTTAATATAAACCTGTCTGCCAAAGGTACTGTCAGAACATGAGTTTTGTATGCTGTTTTACGTAGAACTTGATAACCAGCAAACTTGGCTGTATGGCAAAGAAGGAGTGCACTAACTTACTGCTGCTTAGTTCTCTACCTTTAACTAATTGTCATCTGAATTAATAGAATTGCAATAATCAGTCATCTTTTACAGTTTTGATCCTTGATGATCAGATTTTTCAGGAAGTGAGAACTAAGTGGGCAAGCTGAAACGTATGTTTTCAAAACAGCATACAGGAGTCTTAAATAATTTAGTTGTGAAAAAAAATTACCTTTGTTTTGTAAATATTTATCAGAAGTTGCATAATCAAGGGATTTTGTTAGCTACCTACTGACTGTACAATGAAATGTAGGGAACAATTTTACACTTTTTAAACCTTTAATGTGGTAGCTCTTAACTATCTAAAAGTGTCATCTAATTGTAAGTTGCAAGGGCACTTTTTTTTGGTAACTGCTTCCCCCTCAAAGTTTCAAAATCTAATGCAAATGGCAATTTTCTGTCTTTTCTTTCACGTGGTAAAGCACGTAAAGGATTCTAAATGATGTCCCGGAGAAGAAGCAGAAGCCCGTCCCGAGAACGCCGAATGCGTGGAGACCGTGGTGCAAGTAACAAGACTGACAGCGCTGATCCTCGAGATCTTGAGAGGCGCATTTTTGTTGGAAATTTGCCCACTGATTCCATGGTGAGGAAGGATTTGGAAGATATGTTCATTAAATACGGCAAGATAAATGGTTAGTATCTGGAAACATTAGACATTCCAACTGAGTCTAATACTTAATTTTTAATGTCCTACCTGTTACTGCTTCAAAGGTATGTTACCACAATTTCAGAATTGAACTATTATACCTTCGTCGTACTGTCGATGCCATTTGCTCCCGAGACGTTAGCAGCGGTTCCACTCGGAAGGCACCAAGACTAAGAAAACTTCTGACCCAATAAATTGGGTGGAGCAATATGCTAAAACAATTGGAAGCATTGGTTTGTTCACCTCTGCTACCTGCGCATCTCTGAATTCCCACTGCATGTAGTGGATATTTTGTAAAACTTGTAAGACAAATATGTTTAAATGGATTTATCTACATGAGGTAAGTTTGGTTTATTGAAGTTCAGTCACATGATCTACAATAAGTAATGGATTTGGCTGTTTTGCCCAAAATAAGGCTGACTATCTTCACATCAGGATGTGTGGGACGAAGGCAGGGAGACTTGCGTATGACCTGCAGGTTTCTAACCTACTTGCTCCAATGAAATTTACCAAGGATGTACTTACACAGGACACAATTAGTTGAATACTAATGTGTTGTAATACTTAATTTTCACCTATTTACTGTTGCTGTTCGCTGTTATCATCTCACAAAGGCATTACTGTGAGGACGTGTGTACACTGTTAATTTTCTATGTGGATTGCATTCTGACTTATTGTCCAGTGTGCAAAATTGCATTCTGGCGTGAATTGATTTAATTCAGCATGTTCCTTTTTATTGAATTGCAAATTGAAGTTTCTTTTAGTCATAGTAAGGTACAGAAATAGGTCGTTGACATACTCTGCTTGACAGCTTCCCTTAACATAGCCACACTCATCAAAATTTAAACTTGTCATTGAACAAAATTTACAATGCTATAAAACTTGGTGCTTTTACTTATTTTAATTTTGCGTTTTCTTTTCTTATTTGGAGATGGTTCTCTTTGTCACCACGTTTTACTGTTTTTAGGAGTGGGGACTGCAGTTTACAATTTTTAAAGGTTTTGCAGCTGGGATTATTGAAGGCTAAATTGACCTTGTTTCCCCCCCCCCCCCGGAATCCTCATATATCATTGATTTTAATGGCTTTCATTTGAGCCTTGCTAATTAGCAAGGCAATTGTTTTTGTTACCTTATTTGTGTGAACTAAGTTCTTGAGGTCACTTTTGAAATGCTGAACAGGGTTATTGGCTGGGTATAACAAATTGAGTTTCTACTTAAATTTTATGAACTGATCTAGTGAATTTTTCTACTTTTTGGCTACGATTTTGTATGCGTAGTGCATTGATGTGTGCTGTTTAGGATGATAGGTTCCCACTTGGCTGACTTTCAGGTGGCTGTCTGTTGAATTGACTTTTTGAGGGAAGAAACTGGGAATAACCTGTGATTTCAAGTTGTGGAGAACAAAATTGAACTTGTCATCCCAGCTGGTTCTGTTTGAAGTACTGAACAATTATTTGGGACCTGCATTGACGAGCTGAACCGGACCACTGAGAGATGACTGGCTACATGATTAAGTTAGAAAGTTGGAAATCTGCTGCAACATTTCACCACCTCATGGTCCACCATCTATAATGTTTACAGTTGGGAATGTGATCGCATATTTTCCATTTGCTTGGACGAAAGCAATTCCAACAACATTCGAGAAACTACACCATCCAGGACAAAATAGCCTGCCTGATCAGTACCCCTATTTGCAACTGCCTTGTGCATGCTGCATATAAGGTGCAATTCAGCAGCTTCCAAACCCATGACCTCTACCAGAAAGGCAGCAGATGTATGGGAGCATCTTATAAGTGCTTGTCCAAGATTCATACCTTGTACATGCTCTCTGTGTCAGAATTTTTACATTTTGAACTGCAGTGATTCAAACAAGTCGATCACTTTTTGAGGGCAATTTTGCACGAGTAACAAATGCTGGCTAAACCATTAGTCCTAGAGAGGCTGTTAGTTTTTTTTTAATAAATTGTCTTTGAAGAAAATTTAGCATTTTCAACGCTGAACTTGTAAAAGAAAATCGCTGGGTAAGACTAGCTACTGCCTTTGCTTATTTGTGTTTTTGTGAGTGAAAGCTGTTACCTTGTGTAAATGGGATACTTCTGGGAATGTGTTCTCTTTCCATTGTTTGGACCCATCCCTGATCCAATGAACCAAGCTTTATCCAGTTTTAGATTCATTTCCTTAGTATCTTTATTCAGGTTTGGCTTCATGTTGCTGGGGAGATTGATTAGTCCACCTAAGTATTTTTTTATTCAGTAGCTTTCTTCTCGAGCAAACCTGCCAGATATTGTCTGCCTTTACTTCCATTTTTCCCCTGAATATCACCTGTTGGTCAGATATTTCTGAAATGGAATGGGACAATCGGTATCTCCATCTCCTCTATCCAACTGCTTGACTTGGCCAGTTTCAAGTGCTGACCTTTATTTTCCAGCTTAAGAATTGCTTGTTACGAATTTACATATGGCAATGGTAGCCCATCATTTATGAGATCAGAGTTCGCTTTGTATTGAAACAGAAGTTTTTGATTGGACCTATGATTCCCTATGGTGGAAGAAGTTTGGATAATCTGATTCTTATGAATATCTCCTGTTCTTAGCACACTTGAAATATCAATTTTTGGATTGACTTAGTTTAGATTTGAAACTTTCAAAAATTTTCCAATGTACAAGCAGTATTCTTTGTGTGACCTACTAGAATAGAAACTTGATGTGATCGGTGGCTATGACACAAACCTTTTTTCCAGTAGTTAAGGGAGCTTGTTTTGCAAGTTGAGACAAAATATGGCATGTTTTAGTTTAGTTGATCTCTGAACAAGATAGTTTGGACTAGTAGACAGACATGGTCAAGTTGCATGACATAAAATAGTAAGTGAAGCTGATCATTAAGTTGGAATTGTGAAAAGTAATTTTAGAGATCAAATGTTACTTCTGTGAAACAAATTAGTTTTGACACTTGTCCAAACCTATTCATGACTTTTCTTAAGCAGAAAGATGAAATTTTGTTTACTTTTTGTCTGTCCAACTGAAATTTATATTTACTTGATTTATGTATATTTTGTTTCAAGTTTATTCAGCGCTTGAAATCTTGCTTGCTGTTGAAAATGGTTTTGAATATGGATTGATGAGCACAACAATCACGGGATTGTTGAGCTTAGGATTGACATCTCATTTTGTTCCATGCCTCAAGTTTAGAAAAGTATCAACTTTTCAGTGACAGCATGTTTTACGTGTGGCAGCATTTACTGATCTTCTGCGAATTAAATGTCAGAACAATGTTTTACGTTAGTAAATGTATAGCAGGGTGGACCATATTTCTCAATAGTTCTCAACAATTATTTCAAATTATCTTTAAAGTTGTGGTTTTCAGCTATTCAAGAGGAAGTCGTTTTCATCCCATGGTACAGCAGGGATGAAAAATTTCAGCCCTCTGGTGGAATTATGGCTTGATTATCAATTCTGCTCATTCGAAGCACACCCCCCTCCCACCCACCAAACACCGCTACCTTATTTTGCTTAGGCTTACTCATGAGCAATAAAGATACAAGTTTTAGTCTGCTATTCTACCTTATGCATTGCTTCCATTGACCGCTCAGACTCGTAGAATCCATCAGATTCCCAATTACTTCTCTTGTGGCTTAATGGAACTGTGTTGGAGATTAGTGATGGATTTTTGTTACAGAAGTAAGGAATATGGCAGGTGCTTTCTTCAGACCTGGAGTGTGTGTAAATAGTTTTAGCTCATTCTGAAGAACAGCTGTTGAGTAGAGGGTCACAGTCTGACCATATGGAGTAGACCATTTCGGACTGAAATTAGGAGAAATTACTTCAACCAGAGAGCCTTGAGACTGGAACTATCTCCTGTAGAAAGGGGATGGATGCCAACACAGTAAATATTTTCAAAGATTAGATAGGTGAGGTTCTTCAGGCTAAAGGGATCAAAGGATGTGGGGTGAAAGTGGGAACAGGGTATTGAGTAAGGTGATCAGCCATGATACTGAATGGCAGCAGGATTGAAAGGCCAAATGCTGTTCCTTTTTTTCTATGTTGCTGTGAACCCAGCAATGGTGGCATAAAATCGCTCCAAGTCCCATGCTGGCCAGATATGCATTTTCGTTCCTCTGCTATGAAGTGATGGAGAAATAGCCAACTGCTGCCTCTCAGGTGTAGGATTCATACGGTTTCTATTTTGGTTCTTCAGTCCAAAGATGCTAGTTTACTGTGGTTAATAAATGGACACACAAAGTAATTAAGTTGCTGGCAACTACAGTTATTTAATTGTTACCAATTTCTATAGCCAAGAACTCAATTATTTTTGCCATGGAGTATGGTCTGATACAAGTCCCTTCTATCATATGCTGGCTTCTGTTATGAGCTGAAATATTGTAGTTTATTTGGTATTCCTGAGCAGTTTTACAGTGAGAACATTTATGATCAACCTTTCAGCATTAACAATGAAAATGCTGATTTGTTAAAATATAGTTGTACTCAATTCAGACAACGGGCTTGGACCTGTTTTTTTTTTCTCTGGCTTGTCTATTTGTGTACAAGCAATTCTTTACAATTTGCTTTATACGCTTAATGTTTACAGTAAGGTGAAACTGTCTGGCTTATTATTTCCACCATTACCTTGTTTGCCTAACATGGTATGCCTCTTGTTGATAATTGTTTATTCCATAATAGAAGTCAAACTGGCTGTGAATACACCCTTTTTCCCCAAACTGTCTCAACCTATATCTATCCAGGCATTTGGTCTCCTAATATTTCTTGCTTCACATTTGGTGCAGTGATTTTCTGATTGTGTAATGTTTTACAGTATCATATTAAAGGCACAGGAACAGCATGAATGACCTTATACTTAGGATCTGCTAAATGGTAAAAGCAAATTTCTAAAATTTTAGTACTGAAAGAATTGTGAACATGGTTTCATGGTCATGTTTTCTTAGTTTGAATTTCATTCTGTCTTACGTGTACTCAGAGGTCACAGTAATTTTAATAGAAATGTATTAATTCACAATCATGACAGTGAGTACGTAAACCTGATTCTACCCACTTGGAAGTCTGTTTGGGTAACCTGGAAATAGTTGCATTTCTCTATTGATCATCAATGCTGTTTTCTGACTTTTTATTCTACATGGATTGTGCTGCTTCATGCTATAATGTGAACACATCTTCGCTCGCTCGCTCACTCACTCCTTGGAACTGAAAGCCATTCATTTCCACTTTTCTAATTGTTGACCACGTCCTAATGCAATTCTCTGGGTTGGTTATGATATTGATGTAAAATGAAAATTTCTGTGGCATTGTCTAGCATTCTCCAGTCTTAATTTAAGAATTGGGATGTGGGATGTGGAATGTCAACCTTGGAATGGTTACAGCACAAAAGTTGGTCATTTGAGCCATTGAGTCCATCCTGGCTGTCTGTAAGACTGACTGACTTGCCTAGCTCTTTTCCCTGTGGTCCTGCAATCTTTTTGAGCTAACTCGAATAATTTTATTTATTGGGGCACCTGTCGGATCTGTGTCCACCACACTGGGTAGTGCATTTTACAATCAGACCACTTGTGGGAAGAAAAGTAGTATACGTATGACCCCCATTGCAACTTTTCTGTGTTGCCCTCATAATTGCTGTCCTCCATTTCTGAATCTTTGTGTCATTTAGGATTAGAAAGAAATGTTTCAACTCTTCGTGCAGGCTTGATTTGAATTTCCAAATGTTTGGCATGCCCGCCCAGAACCACCATTTTGAGCCACAGTTCAGAATAGTTGTGGTACTGTTTCAGAATGGTTTATCTTTGTGCTTTTGCACGTGCTATTCTAACTGCATTTGGTATCTTAAAATATCGTGGCTATTACCAGCCACTGAAACCCTGATCTATATACTGCACAAAAATGTCGTGCCACATTGGAAGGGATGCGGTTGGAACGTGAGTCTTCGCTTTATGTATTATTCCGTTGGATATCTGGGTTCCCTGCTGCTGCTGACTACTTTGATACATGGTTAAAAAAATTAACTTGCTTGAATGGATTTGGACGTTTTTGCTTTATTTTTTGACAGTAAGCCATCCTTCTGACACTATCTCTTCCATCATGCAGATGCCAACTAGTAGCACACAGCTTTTGAATCTGTTTATTTCTGAAAGTTAAAAGTATTGCATGTTGGATAGCCATACTTGTATTTTTATTAGCGTGTATGTGGATTTCTGAAGATTGGCCTGTATAAAGCAGAGGTTCTATTGATGTTAAAATGGCAATGTCTACTAAATAATATCCCCATGGAATAATACTTTGTAACCACCTTCTCAGCTACTTTAGTTTGTCACCTGTGTAACCCATTAAGCTAAGGAATGACTATATTTGACATTGTTAACTTTATTGGCAAATACGGGGAATTTAAGTTTTCATTTCTGTATTTAAACTGAGAACCTGTCAGAGTCATACAGCATGGAAACAGACCCTTCGGTCCAACTAGTCCACGTCAACCATGTTTCCAAACTAAGCTAGTCCCACCTGCCTGCATTTGGTCCATATTCCTCCAAACCTCTTCTATTCATGTACTTATCCAAATCTCTTTAAATGTATCAGTGCCTGCATCCACTACTGCCTCTGGCAGTTCATTCCATGCACTAACCACTTGGCAAAAATGTTGCTCCTCGTGCTTTCTGAATCATTCTCCTGTCCCCTTAAAATATGCCCCTTAGTTTTGAACCTCCCCCACGTTACGGAAAAGATCTTTGCTATTCACCTCATTTATGCCCCTCATAATTTTATAAAACTCTAAGGTCACCCCTCGACCTCCTATAATCCAGTGAAAAACGTCCCAGCCTATTTTTAGAACTCGGACTCTCCATTCCCTTGTGACTCGGTTTATGCTTTGAGGTTAGATAATTGGCTGAATGTTCATGTGCGCACACATAACGTACCGTTTCTCATCGCTGTCAACCGTGCTTTGTCCTTTCGTGCTCAAAATCTAATGAGATTCAGATTAAAATGAATTGGGCTGCTCCAAATCCTGATGTCATGTTTGGTTCCAGTTTTGTGACTGTGAATCCTCTCTTTCTAATGTTTATGAACTTATTATATTGAAGAAATGCTTTTGTTGCCTTGGATTTTACCCTGACAATGCAGACACTTCTATTGAGCTGCTGGCTAGTTGCTTATATTATGTTGAAATCCCCATCTTAAAGATTTGTTAGTGTTTAAACGCAAAGTGCTGTTGGTAACATGTTTTAATGTGGAATACAGATGCCTTTGATCAAAGTATACCCTGCCATCTTATACAGTACCTTACTTGGTTCATTTTCATTATATTTTGAGTAGTCCATTGAATATGTTAAAATGAAAACACTTGTACAGATTTATATGGAATATGCGTGCAGTGGACTAATTTAAATATAGAAATCATCTGCGATAGTGAGATGAACCAAAGGACATTCACAATTTTGCATCGAGCTAGAATTGGATTTTGAAAGTTGGAATAAATTGGAATTTGTTTAAATGTTAACCATATCCATATTTTAAATATGTTCTGCAAATCCCAGTTTACTACTACAAATCATCGACTTGTCAAGTCTGATTTTTAATTAGCTAATAGTTGGTTTTCAATTTCAAGACGTTGTCAAGGTTTTGACAGTAATTGTGTTGTTGGTTTTGATGCCTGGCTTCAGCACAAGGGCATCACTCTAGTATTGTCTGCAAGCGGCTGATACTTAAGGATAAGCTGCTGTGGTCGCAACATTTTTGGAATTTTTTTCTTCTGCACGAGAATTTTGCCTGGCCATGTGAAGAATGATTGGACTTCAACATCGTTTCTATTGTTCTTTTGTGAACTAGACATTGCCAGTTTAACTTGCAAGGGTCAAGGGAAATTATTTTGCTCTATTGACTGGAGAATTTTGAACATCTGGAATTTTTCCATCCCACAGGTATGTACATTTTCATTAACAACATTAATTTTGCAGCTTTGTCAATGCACCATGGATTTGGGTTTGTGCAGTTTGATCGTGTTGAGGATGCTAAAGCTGCCGTGCAAGGAGAGAACGAACGAATGTGTAGAGGGTACAGATTAGGTAAGAACTTGAGATAACTGCAAGTGTCTTCAAATGTATACTGTGAATGCATTGGGATTTACAATCCTTAAAGAAGCTTTATAAAGGAGTATACTGCTTAACTGTTGACTATGCTCATTTTATTCTGGACCCTGTGTATTAGTGCATTGGCCCATATTTTCAAATGAATGGAATTGAAAACGCGCATTTGTATCTTAACACTATTTTGGCATGTTTGGCATCCAAGTATGTTATGCTGTGGTAATCCAGAGTTTATTCTGAATGTGGTAACATTGCACCACTCATTCCGTTCAAACTAATAAATATTTGGTACATCTGAAAATATTTATCTTGGAATAAGCAGAGTTTCGTTTTCCAGGGATAACTTGTTGCTATCAATTTTTTTCAAACCTTGGGTGTGAAGATCTGTGATAATTAGTTTACTTTGGCTGTGCTGGAGCATTCTTTCCTAATTTGCTGATTTTTCCAAGCTTGTGACAAATATACCATTTTCACCAAAAATTTGCACTGTTGAGTACATAATTCAAATGCTCGTTTGTGACTGTTTGTCTGAAAATTCTGTCTGTAAGCAAATTTGCTTATTGCAGTAAAACATCATTGTTAATAAACATTTACATAAATCAATCTTTTCAGATATGTTTACGTTCTTAAGTGTATTTTTGTTTTGTACAAATTGGTTGGTTGGTTCTTTTCAGATGTTAATATGGCAGCTGAAAGAAGAAATTCGAATAAAACTGCACGGAGACCGAGTCCTCCGAGAAGGTAATAAAATTGTGCATTTTTTTCACGAAGACAAGACAGTGCTGGGATGACGCTCGTCTTTTGTTATATCAGCATATATAAAGTTCTAAAACTGGCCTGCTTGCTATGGCTATTCTCCATTTGATCGTGATGTAAGTTTTACATTTATATGACAAGTTAATTTTGTTTACTTCTCATCTTGTTTTTCGTAGTGAGTCAGTTGTATATTCTGCAAGCTTATAACAAAATTATGTAGCATTAATACTTATGTATATCAACAATGTAATTTAGCATTTATACAAAATAAAATTTGATGCATTTTGAATTACAACTTGCAATGAATTTTCCAAGTATTCTTTGGGGCATTGACCATGTGTCATGCATCCCAGTGATTCTTATCAGTGTGCTTGTTTTTCATCACCTCACATCTCGTTTGCTGTTGCGTCCATTCACTTTTCATAATTGGGCTTATTAATGTGTTCTAATCCTAGTGAGGTAAGTATCAGTAAATGAATGAAGGGAGGAGGAGGCTGATGTGAAGCTGGCAATGATACCTTGTGGCCTTGATAACCTGGTGGTACACACTGATACATCCTTCCATTGTTCCTTTCCTCTTGAGACAGGGACCGTGATGAAGACGTAAAAGACGATTAAATTAAAAGCTGATGCCAAATCAATAACTTCAGTTCAGATGAACTGAATCAAACTTCAATCGTGCAGTATGGCTTGAAACAGATCTTATTCTCAGATCTATTTGGGAATGCTGAAGTCTATTCTCTACGTGAAGAATGTAGAACTATCACTGGTGTGTTGTCCTGCATGCCCCATTTGTCATAGTATGTAGACTCCAGCATCAAATATTCTTGGCTACTGGAGTCAACAACATGGCATGTGAAACTTTCTTGAAAGGAGCAGTTTGAACAATCCTACCAGCGTTGGAGTTCTTTCGACACTTCTGTGTGTTTGTGTGATGTTTTGTGGATTTCGGAGTCACATTCTTGGTGAACATCACGTTCTCTTTGTAGGTACAAACACTTTTTTCCCCCTCTTTTTCATTTGTATTGTTTCTTTCATCTAAGATATTTAATTAAAGGTAAGTAACAGTTGACTAGTGAAATATTTAATTTGGAGGTGGCTGGAAGTTACGATTAGAAAGTGACTCCAAAGAAAAATTAACATCTTCGTGCAGTCTGTGGAAAATCGGTTTAACATAGATGAATCTGAATTGCTGCTCCTGCTGGGCGATTAAAAAGTGTTAGGCTAAACTGGATTTGTATTGCGTGTGGAAGCAGTGGCTACAGTTCTGTTTTGATTGGTTCAGTGGGGAGAAAAAAATTAAATTTTAAAGAAGAAACAATGTATTGATGATATGGGAGTGACCTTGATTTAATGCGCTCACCTAACCGTGGCTTTTTAAAGTATTGTCATTTTTCATGTTTCTTCAGTTATAAAGACACTGGGTGTCAGCTGAATGATCTGCTATTATGAATTGTAAGAGTAGACCATTAGTTGTCTAAAACTTCAGTTGTTTCCAGACCAATCTTTTTTATCCATTGTCAAAGGATACAGTTCTCAAAGACAGTTTTCAACATGCGTAACCATATATTAGGAAATCTGTATGCTGTCAAGGATCTGAATTTCCCATCCTGAGTTGTTTCTCCTTGTTTTCATCACTTCCTGAGGTATGGAAAGGGTTAGAGGTTAGATTTAGTGTGACATTTAAATGAATTGAGCAATTGGCTACTCCTTGGTTCGATTCTTTTTTAAAAGAAAAGCTGCAGTAAATTTCAATCAATAAACATTGACTCCATTTTAGTCTTAGTTTACAAATATGTAATCTGTAGTATTATATATCTGGAAATAGGATAAGTTTGAGCAAACACTACCGAATTTAAATGTCTTATATTTGGTATTAGACAGTGGTTCAAACTTGGAAATTTCTGCTGTGTCTAGCATTCCCAACTTAATGAGTAAGGGTACCCTTACTCATTTGACATTGCGGATTTTCAGATTCGGGCTTTCCAGATCCTGGGTTTTAAACCATCTATAGTAACTTACACATTGTTTCATCTGATTTTAATAGAGACCCATTTGCCTTTGGTGATGAACGTGATGTAAGACGTGAACGCTCTCCACTCAGACCTACCAGAGATGAACGTGATGCAAGGGATCCCCTATTTGATCGATACAGGGATGCTAGAGACCCTAGGGACCCAACCTACAGGTAAAATTTGCAAATATATTGAAGGTAGAGCAGCGGCGATTTGTCCAAATGGACTTCTGCTAGGCATTTGACAAGGTTCTGCATGGTAGACAGGTTAGCAAGGTTAGATCCTGTGGAATCCGGGGAGAGGTAGCTATTTGGATACAAAATTGGCTTGAAGGTGGGAGACAGAGAGGGTTGTGGTGGGTTGTTTTTCAGACTGGGGGCCTGTAACCAGCGGTACGCCGCAAGGATCGGTGCTGTGTCCAATTCTTCTTGTCATGTATATAACTGAGTTGGATGTGAGTATAGCAGGAATGGTTAATAAGGTTGCGGATGACATCAAAGTTGGTGTAGTGGGCAGTGAAGAAGGTTATTTGAGTGCAACAGGACCTTGATCAGATGATCTGAGGATAGTTTAATTTAGATAAATGTGACGTGTTCCATTTTGGCAAGTCAAATCAGGGCAGGACTCGTACACTTAATGGTAGGGTCCTGGGGAGTGTTGCTGAACAAAGACCTTCGGCTGCAGGTTCATAGTTACTTGAAGGTGGAGTCGTAGGTTGAAAGGATTGTGAAAGCATTTGACACACTTTATTGGTTGGTGCATTGAATATAGGAGTTGGGATGTCATGTTGCGGCTGTACAGGGCAATGGTTAGGCCTCTTTGCAATATTGCATTCAATTTACAAGGATGTTGCTGGGTGGAGGGTTTGACTGACAGAGAATCTGAATAGACTGGAGCTATTCTCCCTGGAATATAGAATGTTGAGGGGTGACCTTATAAAGCTTCATGATTTTATAAACGTCGTGGATAGGACGAATACCCCTTCCAGGGTAGGGGAGTCCAGGACTAGAGGATGTACGTTTAAGGTGGGAGGTGAAAGATTTAAAAGGGACCTAAGGGGCAACTTTTTCACACAGAGGGTGGTGCATGTATGGAGTGAACTGCCATAGGAAGTGGTGGAGGCTGGTACAATTACAACATTTAAAAGGCACCTGGGTGGGTATAGAAATAGGAAGGGTTTAGAAGGATATGGCCAAATGCTGGCAAACGGAATGAGATTAACTCAGGATACCTGGTTGGTATGGACGAGTTGGACCAACAATCTGTTTCTGTGCTGTATGATTCTCTGACTCTATTTACAAATATCAGAAGATTGTCCAAAGTGTCAGTTAAAGTAACTTGAATCTGTTATGAAACATTGGGCAGAGTGTCTTGTAAGTTCTCCATTTTATTTTATCAATTTTTGATATTTTATGTCCTACAGCCACAAGTGAACATGACTATATAAAAAAACTGCTTAAGTCATATCATGTAAGTGGAGAAAACAATCCAAGTTTTAGCTTTGCTGGCTGGAGAGAGACTGGTCTTCTGAATCTAACTTGTATCATTTAATTTTATTTGTTGTACTTGGCGTTTCAGGATGCGAAATAAAATATCATCTTTAGGTAGACTGCTAAACTAGTACAGCTTGTAGACAATACAAACTGGTGCCAGTGTGTAATATTTATGGATCATTGGGATCCCTTCTGGGGCAGAGGTCACCTGTACAAAAAGGATGGATTGTACTGAACTGGGCGGGGACCAATGTCCTGGTGGGGAGATTGCCTAGAGCTACTCAGCAGGGCTTAAACTAGCCTGGCAGGGGGATGACAGCCTAAATAGTCGTGAGACAAAAGAGAAAACCAGCAAATACAAAAGTTAAAAGACAGCAAGTTAAATTGACAAGACAGGCAAGAGCATGGCAGAGAAAGAAGGAACACTGAATTAAACTGCATTTATTTCAGTGCAAGAGGCTTGACAGGTAAGGCAGATGAACTCTGCATGGATGGGAGCATGGGATTGGGATATCATGGCTAATACGAAACATGGCTGAGGGAGGGACAGGACTGGCAGCTCAATGTTCTGGAGTATACATGCAATAGGAACAATAGAAGGGGAGGCAGGATGTAGATGAATTGGCATTTTTGATTAGGGAAAATATCATGGCAGTGCTTTGGACAATCCCTCAGGAATATCCTGTGAGGCTATATGGGTGGAACTGAGAAATCAGAAAGGGGTGATAGGCTCCCTAATAGTCAGTGGGAAATCAAGGAGTAAATATGTAGGGAGATCACAGATAGCTGTAAGAATAATAGGAATGTAATAGTGGGGATTTTAACCTCCAAACATAGTGGGACTGCCACAGTGTTAAGGGAATAGATTAAGTGTGTTGAGGAAAACTTTCTTAGTCAATATGCGGATGGTCATACTAGACAAGGGGAAATACTCAACCTCCTCTTGGGGAAATAATGCAAGTCATTAAGGTGTTAGTGGGTGAGCACTTTGGGATCAATGACAATAATTCTGTTAGTTTTAAAATAGTAGTGGAAAGGGATAGGTCTGGTCCACGAATTAAAGTTCTAAACTGGGGCAAGCTGCTTCCAGGTAAAGGTACGTCTGGCAAGTGAGAGACTTCCAAAAGTGAGGTATGAAAGTTCGGGGCCAACATGTTCCCATTAGTGGGAGGGTAAAGCTGGCACAAGTAGGGAACACCAGGAAGCTGGGGTTAGAAGTTGTGGGACCTCTAACAGAGATATTTGTATTATCGACAGCTACGGGTGAGATGCTGGAAGATGGGTAATGTTGTGCCATTATGTAAGAAAGGCTGCAAGGAAAAGCCAGGCAACTGAAGACTGCTCAGCATAATATAAATGGTGGGTAAGTTGTTGGAGGGGATCCTGAGAGACAGGATCTGTTTGCATTTGAAAAGGCAAGGACTAATTTGGGATAGTCAGTATGGCTTTGTGTGGGGGAAATCAGGTCTCTCAAATTTGTTTGGAGTCCTTCGAAGTGATGACCTAGAGATAGATGAAGGTAGAGTAGTAAATGTTGTATACGTAAACTTTAGCAAGGCCTTTGACAAGGTTCTGCCCAGTTAGACTGGTTAATAACATTAGAACCTGGGATCCAGGGAAAACTAGACTATTGGATACGATATAGGCTTGAAGGTAGGAGACGGGGTGGTGGCAGAGGATTGCTTTTCAGACTGGAGGCCTGCGACCAGTGGTATGCCACAAGGATTGCTGCTGGGCCCATTGTTTTATATAAATAATTTGGATGAGAAAATAGGAATGGTAGGGCCCTTGGGAGTGTTCTCAAACAGGCTACAGGTACATAGCTCCTTGAAAGTGGTGTCCTGGGTAAACAGGGTGATGAAGGTGGTGTTTGGCATGCTTGCCTTCATTGTCCAGAGCATTGAGAACAGCAGTTCTGTCATGTTAGGGCTGTACAAGACATTGGTGAGGCAACGTTTAGAGTACTGCATACAATTCTGGTTGCCCCACTATAGGAAGGAAGTTGAACTGGAAAGAATGCAAAAAAAAATGTACAGGGATATTACCGAGACCGGAAGGTTTGAGTTATAAGGAGAGGCTGGAACATAGGAGGATGAGGGCTCACCTTACAGAGGTGTATAAAATTGTGAGGAGTATAGATAAGATGAATAGTCGAGGTCTTTTCCACAGGGTAGGGGTGTCCAAAACTAGAGGGCATGGGTGTAAAGGTAACGGAAAAGATTTAAAAGGGACCTGAGGGACAACATCTTCCCACAGGTGGTGAGTATACAGAACAAGCTGCCAGAGGAAGTGGTAGAGGCGGGTACAATTACAAAATTTAAAATGAATTGAGACGTATAGGAGGAATAATGGCCAAACACAGGTGAATGGGCCTAGTTTGGTTTAGGAAACCTGGTCGTCATGGATAAGTTGGGCCAAAGTTTCCATTCTCTGACTGTAAGTGTGAAAATTTCAAATCCCCTGTGTTTTGTCAGTTACATTGTGGAATGTATCATTCAGACTGGAGCAAAATTTCCTAAGGATTCAGGTCACCTGATACCTGAAAGGAGTCAATGGACTGTACTGTACATCATGAACATCTGTAAAGTCTTTAGCTCTTGAAAATTTTTTCGAGAAATGGAAAAATGTTTGTTTTACCAGCAACTGCCTCAACCAAAGGACAGAGTGGGGGAAAAAATAGTACCCATTTACTTACATTAACTATTTTGACAGCAAACGCTTTGTAGGCACTTTCAAGGTCCCTGCACATTTTATTAATATTTTGAATTAAGGTATTGCCATTAGTAATCAATAAAAATGGTTTGGGGTGAGTTAAAATGCAGGCTGCGTAGGTATGGTTGAGCATAGGGTTTATGTAGACAATAAAGTAGTGGGGAATAGTTGAGACGTTCCTGTCGTCAAGCTTATAAAAAGGAGGCATGGTTCAGGGTTTTGAGAGCAGATGAGATGAGGGATGTCCAGAATTGAGTTATGTTATGAAAATGTAGGTGCGTAGCAGTCTCCTGTCAGAACTTTTCGGGTATTAGACAAGTTATGAACGAGTCTTTACTCATTTAAATGTGTATGGTGTTAGAATGTAGTTCGAAAGATGATGGCTTCCTTTAGTTGAAGTAAATTTCTAAGTAACACTGACGTGTAGAAGATCAATTATTGGGTGAAATCACTTTATTCCTTTAAAGAACATTTGTGTGATTTTCCTATCCAGCTTTAAAGACAGTTGATTGTTTTGTTGAAACCAGAAGTTGAGAGCTTGAAGCACAATGCTCTAATATATTATCTAAAGTGCCACTTTGTTCTTTTTATGTCCTGCAGCAGTTCTATTTCAGACAGAGTTTCTTATGAGGCATCCAAAAGAGTAGAAAGCTGATGTTATTCTCAAATGTTGGGAAGCAGCAGTCTTTCTAAAGATGACGTTCAGAATGTAAATAGAATAGCCGTTGTAACAAAATTAAAATTTTATTTTGAAGTTGATCTATCTTTGCAGCATACCTTTTTCTCCTTCCTTCTGTTCGCCTTCCCTTCTTTCCCATTGCTGCTCCAGCATCCCAAACATCCCACCAGCCTTCGTTCACTCCCAGGTAAAGAAAGGAAACTGACTCTCTACTGGAACAACGTCCATTCACAGCCTCTGTCCTGCTGGGGCTCGGACCTCTGTCTCGACTCCCTGGACTGCATAGCTGATGACACGACTGCACACAGAATGTGAAAGATGTCCTGCTGCCTGTCCCATTGCAGTCACCTGATGGTTGTGGGCCATTTTGATGTTACGGATTATCCAGCAATCTCCTCAAATCAGTGTGGCCAAAACAACAATGTCAGTTCCTATCATAGTGCTTTTAGGGCTTGTCTCAACTAACTACAATATAAAACCACTTACAACTATTACATTGGATGATCAAATTCTGTATAAATGCATGTATTGCACCATTCTTTCAGTTTTTTTCTCGGTTTTGAGCTTTAATTGAAGTTTGAAGGTGTTTTATAATTTTTGTCCAGGCAAAGTTGCTGTGGTTTCCTGATACCAGCTTTCAGTATATTGAAAATGTGTTGTGTGTTGTATATTGTATTTCCTCATCAACAACCATTTCTCTTTGTAAATAACGTACAGAAGATGATTTGTCTCAGGTTCTTCACAGATCTGTTGGTAAGCAGATTTTGACAGTTTTGAGCTACAGGAAATATTAGGATAAATGGCTACTAACTTGGGTCAGATATGGGTTATGGAGAAGTAACAAAAAACTGAAATCCAGACAACCTAGGTAACAGAGTACAGCCACCAATGGTGGGGTGATTAAAATATAGGGGTGCTCAAGAGACTGGAATTAGATGAGATCTAATATCGTGGAGAATTGAGGCATTGGAGTAATTTGAGTTTATGGAAACCAAGGTAGTGTAAGGATGGACGTTGAGGTATTCCTTAACTTTTGAACTGAAGTAGATAGGCAAATCTGGCTCCGGGTGATGAATAGAACTGAATAAGAGCCCTAACAGTTTTGGTTGACATGGCCTCCGCTGGTCTAAACGTGGGAATTCAGCCAGGGTTGTGTTAACCTTTTTGACTACCGGAAATAACACCGGTTCGGATGAACTTAAGTAGGATAGAGTCAGATTATACTTCAGGTTAGAGGTGGAAATTGGTGATTTCATGATCTTTGCAGCTATGGGGTTGGAAGCTTACTGTTTGAATCAAATATGACATACAGGTTGTTCACCGATTGAACGTGAAGTCAGGAATTAGTATTAAGGAACAGAGTTTATAGTGGGGACTAAGAACTATGGCTTTATTTTTTCCAAAATTTACTTGAAACATGTGATGGAGGAGTGAGATATACATGGAGCAGGGATTGTATTATTTATGTATAACGTTCCTTTTTGAGACAGGGTTCACTATTTATTTTGAAAAGGTTGTCAGCTAGCATAAATATGAAATTCTAGGAGAGCATGTTTATTCAAAAAATCGGTCTGCTTTGTTGGAAATTATATCAAATGCCCTGAAGTTCAATTGTGTGATGTACCAGTGGAGTTGTTGCGACCGAGATAAGAGTAAACTTCCTTCATGGCCCCGTATGCAATTTTTTGACGTGGCTAATCACACCATTTTTACATCTGTCATTTCATACTCATCTAGTTGTAGCCAGTTTATTACTGACCATGTCTTATCTTCCTACTCCTGCACTGTTCCCATTTAGGTATAACAAAGGAAGTGCTGCACACTGATTTAATCTTCAAATAAATTAGGAAAGAGTAGTGCATAAAAGGCCTTTGGGGCAGTTTCTCAAGCAATGCACTTTGGACTGATTAGGCAACATGCTGTTTGTATGTGCTAATGTACAGTGAGATGGAATTAACTTACTTCCTATTAAGTATTGTAAGTTTCACATTCAGTTTGAGGGTGTGAAATGTGAGTATGGCAATAACCAGAAAAGGAGTTAAACTAAAGAATGAGAGAATATCAAAGATAAATCAGCAGTACTTTTCCTACGAGCCCCCATTGTATTGCATGTGTAACCATTGGAACCATGTGTGTTGCAGACGAGATGAAGTCTATGATAGGTATTATCGCTATGACGATGTACTGCGAAGGAAGGAGGAACCATACATGGAACGATTCCGGGAGCCATGGGATTCCAGAGCACCTCGTGAAGTTGATGGTAAGTAATGAACAGAGATCCATGGTGAGGAATGGAATGAATTTTATTTTATTGTGGCCTGGCAAATTCTTTGGGAGGTAGGAGCTTCATGTTACAACTTCATCTGTTTGTACCAAGATTATAAGTTCTTTGATTTTCATCCTGCATTTGAATATGCACTTAACGAGTCTTGGAATTTTGCCTTTAATACTTCACATTCTACTTTGCCTGAACCAGGCCTACTTTACATGTGAAAAATGTGGTGGGTTCTGTCAGGAAATTTGAAATACTGTAGAAGCTGGTTCAACAATCCAACAGGCGTCTTCAGGCATGTGATTTTTAACTAGTTGTTTCATTATAAACTTTTCAGCTGAAAGTATTTCAGGTTTCCTCAATTTGTAGCCAATATGATGTTATGCTGGTTAGCACATAGTTTCTTCTTAAACTTCTGGCAAATTTTTTTTTTTTTTTAAGAGTTAATTGTCGCATACAGAGTGAGATTTGTGAAAATTCCTGACCCAGTGATTGGGTTTCTTTGATACAGTGTGGCAGTAATTTTATTAGTAATGTCACTATACTAGAAAGTCAAAGGTCTAGGCTAATACAGTAGGGACTTGGATTCAAATCAAACTAAATTATTTAATTCAATTAAATACTGGTGCAAGCAGTGATGACAGTGAAACTATTATTGGTTCACTAAAATCCTATAGGGAAGAAATTCTGCCATCCTTTGGTGTGGCCTACTTTTGGCTTCAGGCTCACAGCAGTGAGTTTTTTTACCCTTAACTGCTCCTGTACAATGGCTTCGCTGAGCTGAAACTTGTCTGGAAAATCCATCTCTTCATTGAACCAGCATTCATCCCTGCCTTTACAACGTGTGCAAAACAGCATGCCAGGAGCAGTGCTCTATGTTTTTAATATGATATCAAATCTGGTGATATTACAGCACAGTTCTACTCGCTAAACAGCAGAAGCAGCATGCAACACAGCCAGGGCATCCTGTAACCAAGAGGAGAGATTAAAGCTTTCAGCTATTGCCACATTCATACACAAGAATGGTGAATAAATAATCAACTAATTGGAAGAGACTGTACAAGTCTTCAGTGATGAGAGAACCCAACTTATCGGTATGAAAGCTGGATTGAAATATTCGCACCATTTTCACTCAAGTGTCAGGTGGATTAGACTCTTAAATCCTTTCTAGTTCCCCAGCACCACTCGATATGACAGCAAAAACTGAGTTGAAGGAATTAGATACAGCAAGGGTGTCCTGTCAACATTTGGGCAGTAATAGTGACGAGTTGCTCTAGCTGCAGTTCTAACTAAACTGTTACAGTACTCCTAAAACCAATTTAAAAATTGCCCAACTATATTGCTATGCGAAATGCAGCTCAAATTTGCTTAACCAGGTAATGCACATCAGTCCATTCTGCACCATGAGTGATGGAGGGTACTGTTCTTGGTGTTTACTGAGCAGTAATCTGTTTGCTAGTGTTCAGTTTGGGTTTTGGTAGGGCCATTTGATTCCTGACCTGATTGCATCTTGGCCCAAGTAGGGACAAAAGAGCTGAATGCTCATGGTGAGGGGAGACTTAAGGCACCAGATGTCCAAGTCTAGTGCCAAGGACCTCCAGTCGAAACAAAGTCAATGGGAAATTGTGGGGTTTGAATAGCATTCTGACACAAAGTAGGATGATTGATAAAACAGTTGATCTCCCAACAATCACAATGATCTGTCTGTTTATCATATGATCAGACGTTCAGAAAATCGGTATCATGTTCAAGACCATGTAGTATGAATGGCAGCGCTAACATTAGTGGACTAGTAATCTACAGGCACACTCTAATGCTGTGTGGATAAATGTCATCATGACGGCTGGTGGAATTGAATTTCAATTCCAGTGTGGTGGTGGTGTATTGCAGTCAGTAATGTGTGCCTAGAACTTAAAGTTCAGAGTCAGTAACCTTAAACCTAATAATTCTGGATGCTGGAAATCAGAAACCAAATCAGATTGCTTGAAGAATGCAGCAGGTCTGGCAGCATCTGTGGAGAGAAATCAGTTAAAGTTTCAAGTCCAGTGACCCTCCGGAACTGATTGCAGAACACCTACATATCTTCTATGTACAAAGTGGTTGCCCATTCTCCGCTTTGTCCCCCCAGTGTAGAGGACACAACTTTTTGAGCAGCAAATGCAGTAAATGTTCTTGCTGTAAAAATGACCTGAGATTTCTGACGTTTGAACAGACCATTGTGTTCCCTGGCTGCATCATCTTTCAGGTTTATTCCAGTGCTGTGACCAAACTCGGCGCAAGCTGGAAGAACAACATCTCAGTTTCCACTTGGGGGCCCTGCAATCTTCTGGACTCAATATCAAGTTCAGTAATTTTAGGAATTAGCACCTTCTCCCATCTCCTTACCCAAATCCAGGTCTTGTCGTCATATGGGTTGCTGCAGCAAACAACCTGTTGTCAGCCCCAGCAGTTCCCATTAGCAGCTATTCGTTTTCCCAGGTTGATCTTTTACCCAGTCCTTTGTCTGCCCAACTGCTTTCTCTCTCTGGGCTCCATCTCCACCTCCTTATTTACTCCTTCCCCCTCCCCACAGCCTCTTTGGCATATGTGCTAACCTTTTCCTAGGTACAGGCTGTTCTAAAGGAGGGTCATTGGACCTGAAAAGTTAACTGTGTTTTCCACAGGTACTGCCAGACTTGCTGAGTTTTTCCAGCAATTTTTGGTTTTAAGACTGTAATCTTGCTATAAAGACTAATTGGGTTCTCTAATGTTCTTTTAGTGAAGATAATCTGTTGTCTTTACCTGGTCTAGTCAATGTGTGACTCCAGACCCACAACAGTGTGGTTCTTTTTAATTATCCTCTGAAATGCCCAGCATGGAACTCGGTAGAAGGGAAATGAAATAGGCAAGAAGTGCTATTATTGCCAATGATGCCCCATCCAATGGTAGTGTTTTTAAAGATACTTGCAACTGCTTGAGCTGAGAACTGGAAAGTACCATTTGTACCACACAAGTGCCAAGCTTTATCCTCTGTAACAAGAGAAATCTAGCCATCTCCCAGAGGCATTACCATTGCTGAATATCCCCCACAATCATCGTTCGTGGGCTTAACAATTGAACTAGACTGGCCATGTAAAAACTGTGGTATGAGGTTAGGAACTCTGGGGCATGTAACTCCACTTCTGTAATACTGTGCACTGTCTCCAAGATGTAAGTCTGGAGTGTGACAGAACTCCCCACTTACGTGGACAAGTGCAGCTTAAACAAATTCTTTAAACTGTGTCCAGAATGAAGCAGCCTGCTTGTTTGGCACTCCATCTACTACTTTCAACCGTCGTTCCCTCCCCCATATACCAGGTGCATTGCAACAATTTCCTGAGCCTCTTCAAAAGCAACTTCCAAACCCACAATGGCTATTCCTTAGAATGATAGGGCACCAAATGCCAAGGTGCAAAATCTGCTGTTCCTCTGAGCCATGCACCATCCTGATTTGGAGTTAAATCACTGTTTCTTTACTATCACTGAGTCAAAATCTTGGCACTCTGACCCTGGCTGCGGTGAGTGTACGTGCATCATTTGAACTGCAAAAGTTGGACAAGGCTGTTTAGCAACACCTTGAGGGTGCTTTGAATTGGGAAACAAGTCCTCTTCTAAGCAGCAGTGCCATTGTGTGAAATAATGGAAAAAATTACTTTGGCAGTTGGTTCTGTTTTTTGAGTTAAGATTCCATGCTGTCTTATTGTTTTCATGATCATCTGTGTGATTGAAAGGAACAGAAGCGTAACCTCTGCAAATTTGTACCTGTACATAGACACTGATTAGCAACTCTAAATAACCTTGATAAATATAGGTTGCAACTTGAAAGAAACTGCATAGGTTGCAACTTGAAAGAAACTGCATACTCTTGGAGACTACAATTTTAGACCGGCTTTAAGCACTGGGTCTAAACATGAGAAAAGCAGGGGCACAGGTGAGAGAAGATCACTTTCTTGGAATTGAGATTTCTGTATGAAGCTCCGTTGTGGCGGTGAGATTGCTTGCATGGTTCAGTCCAATAGCTGAATACTTTGGAAGACCTGACTTTTGGATTAATTGCCCATCCCACAAAGATAGCACAGCATCTCACCTTACTTAGTGTTAGTGCAGGAATGGAGAAAAGAGATCAAGGAGACTCATGCAACAAAATTTCTCCTTTTTCCAGTTGTGTGCCAGTCATCGACTAATGGGTAACTTGCTTGTTTTTGGAACTTGTGAATGGATTTGAAAATTAGTCAAGAGTTCTTAACCTAGATGCTTTCTGCAGGAGTGCACAAATAAACGAGATCAAATACTAGTCCTCTGTCAGTTTGGTGTTTGGAAGGTACATTGTGTTGTTAGTAGAGGCATAGAGTCATAGAGCTTTTCAACATGGAAACAGACCCTTCAGTCCAACTTGTGCATGCTAACCAGATATCCTAAGTTATTCTAGTCCCATTTGGTCCATGTCCCTCTAAACCTGTCCTGTTCCTGCACTAATCTATCCAGATTCCTTTTAAATGCTGTAATTGTATCAGTTTCCACCACTACCTCTGGCAGCTCATTTCATACATGCACTACCCTCTGCATGAGAAAATTGCCCCTTAGGTCCCTTTTAAATCTTTCACTTTAAACCTACAACCTCTAGTTTTGGATTCCACCACTTTGGGGAAACGACCTTACCTGTTTACCCTATCCATGACCCTCATGAACATCTATAATGTCAACCCTCAGCCTCCGATGCGCTAGGGAAAATAGCCCCAGCTTATTCAGCCTGTCCCTATAGCTCAGACCCTCCAACCCTGGCAACATCCTTCTAAACCTTTTCTGAACCCTTTCAAGTTTTCCAACATCCTTCTATAGCAGGAACACCAGAACTGAACATGGTATTCCAAAGTGGCCTAACCAATGTCCTGTACGGCTGCAATATCACCTGCCAACTCCTATACTCAATGCACTGACCAATAAAGGCAAGCATACTAAACACTGCCTTCACTGTCCTGTCTACCTGCGATTTCTCTTGCAAGGAGCAATGAACCTGCACTCCAACATGTCTCTAATCAGCAGCACTCCCCAGAGCCTTAGCATTTAGATGTATAAGCCCATCTTTGGGGTAAATGAAAGAAATTAATTTATTGTTGCTATTCAAACTGGTAACTTCCATGGATTTCATTTAGCTTGCTGTAAGTTCCAATGAGCGGTATAGATCAGATGAATTGAAAACCATAAATCTTTGATTAATGTTGTTTTCTCCATCTCTTTCTCTCCCTCCCCCCCCCCCCCCCCCCCCAAAAAAAAAAAAACAAACCTTTGAAGATCCGATGAGAAGGGAGCGTCGCAGAGAAGAATTATATCGGCAGTATTATGATGAAATCCAGAGACGTTATGACGCAGAAAGACCTGTGGATTGTTCTGTAATCGTCGTCAACAAACAGCAAAAGTGAGTCAAAATGGTTGTCTGTAGAGTGCCTTGTGCATCCTTGGAGTTGTCTGTATTCACATAATAGCCAATTAAATATTTTGAGCTGTGCTCACTTGTCCAATAGAAGCCTCATAGCTATTTTGAATGTAGTGCAATTCCACAAACAACAGTAAAGTGATATCCAAGTAAATTTGGGACTTTGAAGGATGCCTACTTGATTTTTTTGCGCGCGTGTGTAACAGTCCTTTCAAACATTCTGTTCAAGCACTCCCTTCTTATCCAGTTACCACTTACTGGATCTGATTTATTTGAGTGAAATAGGCTTCTCCTAACCATTTCGAGTTCCCTCATAATTTCATACAATATAGTGAAGTCTCTCCTTGGCTTCCATTGTTCTGAAGAGAAAACTCAGTCTATTCAATTATTTTTATTTAAAGACAGAGTTTAAGTCCTGGCAACATGTTAAGTCTCCTTTTCTGGTACAGTCACATTCTTCTTGTATTTCAGTAATCAGAGCTGTATGCAGAATTCTAACTGGTCTAAATAGTATTTCATGTATATTTCTAGTGTAACCTCCCTGATCCTGTTTTCTCTGCTTTGCCTGAAAAGAAAAAGCATCCATATGCATCCTTAAAGGAAAATAATCTTGCCTGCCTACCTGCCCACCTACCTTCAGTGATCTATCGATATGAACAAGGACCATAATAAAGGGAAAATACTGGGGATGCTGGAATGCTGCAGAAATTCAGATCTGGCAGCATTTGTGTAGCGAGAAACTGAATTAATGTTGAGTCTGGCAGGATTCTTCAGAACAAGGACTGTTCATTCTCAACACTTGGTGTTCTCCTATCTAGTTTCTTGAATGCTATGACTAATCCCCAAGGTACTGATAGGTGGAAGTGGTCCCTTTTTCAGTGCATACATTTTTTAAGAGGGTCACTTTTCAGTATTGATACACGTTTAATTACATCTGAATCTTCAGGCTTTCTTTCAGAAACTTTGCTTTTCTACTGCAGGTTCTGAAGTAAATAGATTTTAAAACTATTACATTAATGTGGTTTTATTTCTGTAATTTACTGTCCTAAAGAGGTTCAGTTATTTGTCTTGACCCAGAGATTTACTACTACTGTTTGGTCAGGGAATATGCAGAGTCTGTTGGTCGAAAGGTTCGTGACCTTGGTATGGTTGTCGATTTGATATTCCTCAACACTGAAGTGTCGCTTACACAAGCTCTTGAAGATGTTAGCAGAGGAGGCACAGCATTTGCTATTGTCATCACTCAACAACATGAAATACACAGGTCATGTACTGTCAATATCCTGTTTGGAACACCACAGGGTAAGTATTGCCCTCTAAGTTATTCACTGTTTAACTCTGCAGTAGTGTTTGGTTTTTATTTTCTGGTGTGGATTAAGTTTTGTTTTGGAAACATTGAAATCCACGTAGAATTTCTTGCGTTCTGATTGAAGAGATTGTGGCTTATAAACTATAGGTCACCTATATCTCTGGTGTTCAGTTATTTTTAGCATGAAATTCATCTAGTTGGCATTCAATATTCTTTCTGGAGGATTTCTGACCTTTGAGGTGAGTAACCACTTGAGTAGATTATAGAGCCCATCAGGGCTGTCAAGTAACCGTGTTTGACCTCTGGCTGGTTCATGAAGCAGTTGCAGGATTGTGATGAAGTCATAATGGTCAGCGTAGTTTTGGATCATTCTGGCTTTCTATCAGTGCTATCCTAAAGTGTTGCTTTTCTTTGGTTGTAACTTTGACCTTTTGGAATGCTGCTGCCTTGATGTGCACCTTCTGGGTGCTGAGCTGAACAATTAAAGCTGCATGCTTTTATTTGGGGAAGTTGCATTGTTCAGTGCTGTTTTCGTGCCGTTAGCATTAGGCACTTTGATAGCTGCACGAATAGTCAGAGCACAGCAGTGTGGTAGGAGATAGTAGGAACTGCAGATGCTGGAGAATCTGCGATAACAAGGTGTAGAGCTGGATGAACACAGCAGGCCGAGCAGGAAAGCTGACGTTTCGGGCCTAGACCCTCCTTCAGAAATGGCGGAGGGGAAGGGAGTTCTGAAATAAATAGGGAGAGAGGGGGAGGCGGTTAGAAGATGGATAGAGGAGACAGACCGGTCAAAGAGTCGGGGATGGAGCCAGTAAAGGTGAGTGTAGGTGGGGAGTTAGGGAGGGGATAGGTCAGTCCAGGGAGGACGGACAGGTCAAGGGGGCGGGATGAGGGCTAGTAGGTAGGAGATGGGGAGGAAGGACAGGTTAGGGAGGTGGGGACCAGCTGGGCTGGTTTTGGGATGCGGTAGGGGGAGGGGAGATTTTGAAGCTTGTGAAGTCCACATCCATTGGGTTGCAGGGTTCCCAAGTGAAATGTGAGGTGCTGTTCCTGCAACCTTCGGGAGGCATCGTTGTGGCACTGCAGGATGCCCAGGATGGACATGTCGTCTGAGGAATGGGAGGGGGTGTTGAAATGGTTCGCGACTGGAAGGTGCAGTTGTTTAGTGCGAACCGAGCGTAGGTGTTCCGCAAAGCGGCCCCCAAGCCTCCGCTTGGTTTCCCTGATGTAGAGGAGGCCACAACCGGAACAGCGGATACAGTATACCACATTAGCAGATGTGCCGGTGAACATCTGCTTGATGTGGAAAGTCTTCTTGGGGCCTGGGATGGGGGTGAGGATGTAGGTGTAGCACTTCCTGCGGTTGCAGGGAAAAGTGCTGGTTGTGGTGGGGCTGGAGGGGAGTGTGGAGCAGACAGGGGAGTCACGGAGAGAGTGGTCCCTCTGGAAAGCAGATAAGGGTGGGGAGGGAAAAATGTCTTTGGTGGGGTCGGATTGCAGATGGCGGAAGTGTCGGAGGATGATGCATTGGATCCGAATTGAATGTCCAAATTGGACCTGAGCTGCACATAGAATGCCTTTCTTTGGTTAAGCTGCTTTAAGGCTGAGATTGCAAAGCCCAAAAATCCAGGAGAAAGGTCAGCGTGTCGGTGCTATGTGGATGTTCATCTCTGACCTAAAGCCTTTTCATCACCTGGTCGAATAACCCATCCAATGGCTTTCAATCCCCCACATGAATTAAGTGATACAGAAGTCTGTCTGATTTGAACAAATGTTAATGACAGTCATGTAATCCAGGAGGTGCCAAATCTCTGGAATGACTCGCATGTGGATTTTGTATTCTTACTGATGAGGGTGTTTCAGTTAAACAATGAAGGGTTTTGCGCTTGGTGTAGCTAGACCCTTGCATTATTCCCACAGAAGAAATATTCTTATTTTTAGGATGGCAGTGAGGACTTTGAGAAAGTAAAAATAGAATTCTTCCTGAACATCACAGTGGAGGTGTAGCACTGATGACTTTGCCTGCAATTCAACCAATATGCCAAAGTGTCACAAGTCGTTATTTAGTATGGGGCTTCTGGCATGGATCCAAGATCTCATTCTGGATGGTAAAACCCACTCCAGACCTGAAAGTTGCTGTTGGCCTTTACAGTAAAAGATGCATCTTCTTTCGGCTGTTCCCTTCATAGGTGAGGATAGGAGGATATGGTGTTCAGGATTTTTGAAGTGGTATTCCACTTTTTTTTGGAATCACGTGGCTTATGCAAGCCAAGTGTTGACAAGTTTTGGATCAGTTGACATTGTGGATTACCTACTTTCTTTGATATTGGCAATAGAGACAGTTTGGGAAATGTCCCTGTGTGAAACTAGCAACCATTTTGATCTATGGTAGCTGGTTGCATTGTGAACGTTTTTCTGCTCACTAGTAACTTTTACTGCTATTTTGTCAGGAAGTGAAATGTTGCCAAGCATTGTGATTGCAAATGCTAAAACGGTACGTGCTTTGATGTTCAGTGGTTAGTAAATGTAAATTGTACCCGGATTAAGAATTGGAAGGCATTGAGAAGTTGATGCAGTGATTACTGCACAAAATAGCTAATATGTAATTTGATATGAATAATTGAGGCAAAGTTTAGCAGTATTCTTTGCTGTTGAAATGGAAAATGATGTTTCCTCTTCAGTACATTGTTATTACAGCTTACATGTTGGGTAGATTAACCTTAAATATTTAATCTTGTGGTAATTTTATTATTGACATTGGTAATTGGTGTGTATAGTGAGATTCTCCTTTTTTCATATCCAGAGCATCGTAACATGCCAATGGCAGACGCAATGATCTTGGTTGCACGTAATTATGAGAGGTACAAGACAGAAACACGTGAAAAGGAACGAGAAGAGATTGCAAGAAAGGCAGCTAAAATGGCAGATGAATTCATAGGGCGGGAAAGGGAGCCTACTCAAGGGGCTATGGAAGAGCGAGGAAATCCTCCTGGCATCCAGCCATTGTTGAATTTGCTTGCTGATGGAAGATACCTTACTGTAGAAGAAATTGACAAGATCATTGAATATCTGAGAGAAAAAAAGGAGCGGTTACTTCGAGGAGGAGACTCCTTGCATGGTAATGTTTTGTAACTAATATTTGGAAATTCTGTGTAGGCTGTTCAGACGATCCAGTCATTTTTCACTTTTGGATACTGTTGCTGGTTAGACCAACTGTTAATCTAATTAACATAACCATATAGCATGCAATTAATAAAAAGGCACAAAAAACCATAATTTTACTTCCCTCTGAGGAGCCATTACTACTTAAAAGCACACCATAATGCCTAGTTATAAATGGCTTCTTTGGAAGGTATATCAGCACTGGTGTTAATTCTCTACTAAAAGAAACTGGTATCTTTTCAGATACAAGATCTAATCTTCGTGCTATGAATTAAATGTTAGTTAGTTAACAGTTAAGGACATGCACATCTCCATTATCCACAATGCAACAGTGTCTTTAGTAGATCTAATTCAATTAGTAACATAAACTAACCTGCAGAGATAATTAAATAGCAATGATTGTTTTGGTTTTCATTAGTCTAAAGTAAATTGAAATGGTTGTGATGTCTTTTTATCAATTTTCTTGACAGGATCTGTTCACAATCCAGCTCCCATGCCTAGACCAAACATGGGTTCCGTAGGAATGAACCCACTTGATGCACAGCCATCGCTACCACCTGCTCCATCTTTGAAGGGAGGGCCACAAGACACACAGGCAGCACAGCAGCAGGAGTTGCAAGCCAAGATTTTAAGCCTCTTCAACAGTGGATCATCTGGCTCAAATACAAATACTGCAGGGGCACAGGGTCCAGCTTACGGAAGTGCACTGAATACCCAATCTCAAAACCGAGGTGGCCAGCTAGGTCTCAATAACTCTTCCTATCTGTCTCAAGCTCAGCAGCGCATGACAGGTCCTAATTCACAGCTTCCACCTTTAATGAGTCAAGCAGTTGCACCGAGAGCCACTGCTATTCGCTCGCCTCTGCCTCAGGCCCAAGGTCTATATGGCCAGCAGCAACCTCGAGGTCCAACCCCAAATCAGTCAAGTGCTTTGTCTCAGGCCCAGAGATCTGGTGTTGCAACAGGTATAAACTTTGATAACCCTAGTGTGCAGAAAGCATTGGATACCCTGATTCAAAGTGGTCCGTCTTTATCCCACTTGGTAAACCAGGCCTCTACCCAGGTACCACGCCCTGGGCAGCCAATGAATCAGGCTTCTATGGCATCTTACCAGCGCCACTATTGATCCTGCGTGTAAAGGGGAGGGAAGGGAGATGCTCTTATTGAGGAGCAGTCAGCACATCCACTGAAACCCTTTAAGGCTTCCTGTTTAAGGTTTCATAAACAAATGTAAGCGGTTGAAAGAGTGCTTCATTTAAAAACTGGTTACTGTTTAGTTCCAGTGTATTGAGAGTCGCTTTTTATAGTAACCAGGCAATTGGCAACATTTTGTAAAGGCACTCTCATCTTGGAATGTGTGTGTGTGTGTGTGTGTGTGTGTGTGTAAAGATCTACATTTGTTCATGAACAAAGCCTTAATCGCAATCACTTGGTTTATGTTGACATTGATCTTTTAAAATAAAAAAAATTGAAATGTTAACCCAATGATTCTGTGTATTAAAGAATTAAAGCATGATGCTACAGTCTGAATCCAGTGTTTTTAAATGAATATTTCTAAAGATGTAACTACAATCCAGGATAGCAGACCTTACTAAACAAGTTTTTATATTTTAATGTTTTGTCACCTTTATTTCCTTTTATAACTAAATTCTAGGCCAGGCAGGTTGTCATTGTCATAATAGCCATGTAAGATTGACTTTTGTAAGTTTTATGGTTTCCTGTTACATTTGTGATCCCCTTTCCTTGTGTACATTCTCCAGCTGTGAGCAAGTGCTTTACATGCCTAATTTGTAGCCAGTGCCATTTGCAGTTGTGGAATGGTGGCTGTTGTATATTTCTTGGTAGTTCAATGTTTGAGTCACTACTTTCATCTGGTTTGTAAAGAATAAAGGTTTCTCTTCCATTTTTTCCCCCTTTGGTTGTGTGTATGTATGTATGTATGCATGCGTGTGTGTGCATGTACTACGGGTGGGAAGATAGTTGTATAAGTACTGGTAACTCAAAGGTTCAGAACCTGAACAAAGGAGGGTGACAGAAGTCATGTGGCAACCTTTTGGGAGTCATTCTAGTTTGATTTGAAGCAAGTTTCTTCCCACTGGAAATGTACACAAACACTTTTTGTAAAGTTAAATTTTGATCAAGAGAATTGCGGCACCAGAAATTAGTGTGGGAGACCCCGGGGAAGTTTATTTTTTTTGAATCAAAAAAATGAGATTTTGCTGAAATGCTTGAAAATAATGGCAGTGGAGTGTGTGTCAACTTTCATTGCAACTCAACTTGTGAGCAACACACTTGAGGGCAACTATGGACAAGTTGGGGATCTAGATTAATACTTTGCAATTTAAAATGAAGACAAAGATTGATGAACTGAAGGTTGTTTAATAAAACTGAGGATTGGGTGGAGAGTTTTAATGGACTCGTTGTAGAATCTGTATATTTGCCAAAACATTTGAAGGTTCTGCACAAGTTGTGTGAAGTTGTTTATAAACAGATGTGATAGATATCATAGTGCAAAATCTGGTAAGATTGTCTGGGCTGTCTCTTTTGATTATTTGGATATTAAATTCCATGATGTTTCTTAATTTAAATGGTTTGCAAAGTACTGACTAATGTCACTCATTCTCCCTTCCTGTAGTAATTCAGCCCAGCGTGCAGTATATCACTGATGTAAACCTAATCATCACTAATCTTATTGAACACTTGAAATCTAGTTATATTCATAATAACCAGTGAAGGCTTAATAGTCCACTATCAATTGAGGAAGGTTGTTAGACCTCACGTACTCAAGCTTTGAATGTTGCTGTTTCTTTGTTACTTGCCTCTACATTTCCCTTACCGTGTTGAGCCAAGAAAAACTGCCATGTGACCGCTGTTCAGTTTCTGAATATTGTATAATGATGAAAAATTCAAATGGGTGCATTCTCCCACTCCAAAAAATACAGGGAGTGGTTGGAACAATGGATAAAGCAGCAGTGTGTCTTATTTTCTCACTTAGTTTTGCTAACATTACTAAAACTATGTCCAGTGGTAATATTGTCTAATCTATGCCTGGATATTTCTGTAATATTTTTGTGCATTAGTACTTACCGAAAGAGAATAGTCTTCTGTTTGTAAGACCTATTTTATGTATGGAATAAGCTTAGAGACCTCAATCTTTGGGGATGCAATTTATGTCAATCTTATTTCTGTAGGTGCATTCATACAACATCGAAATTATGATGCAAGGCTAGCAAGTTTGGTTGAGATGGTAGTAACTGAAATTCATATTTGTGTTGAAATCTGTGTTCTCAGCTCGAGTGATAATGAAGTAGAGAGCAAGTGGTTTCCGCTTGAGTCTTTGAAAATGGAAAGTCAAGTAAGATCAAGACTGGAGAGATTCTTTACTGATAGCTTCAATTGTCACCCTGTGATGTTAACTTTCCATTTTGATTGTTTTGGGATTGACCAAGGAGGAATGTTTGCAGATAGGGGCATGAAGAGAAACTAAATGGCACTGCTACATTGTTAGTATTGATAATGACCCGCTCACGATCTGAACAGTAGTAATTACCAACTAAGCCTGTTTGTTTGGAAGACTTGTTTATGATCTACATCATTAGAAGCCCTGTCAAGTATAATGACCTCTGCCTTGCACTTGATGACCAAAATCAATGATAAAATTGCACACAAGCCCTGAATCCCTTTTTCTGGTAAAGCAGTGGGGTAGCACATACTTTTATTCCTTTATCGCTCAACAGGGTATTGTTTATGTTTCAGACACCCAGAATACTGTGTGGATAGCAGGACATGTGATCATCAGCCAGGCACGTGACAGAGCAGAGACCAAACCGTACGGGATCAATCTTGGCCTTGATAAACGTGGTTTTTCAGTTCATTGGCTGAGCGCACCTGACCTGAGATGGCATGAGCTCCATGACCTAATAATGCATCACCTGGCACGATACAAGCCCCCAAAGTACCTGGTCATTCACTTGGGAGATAATGACATAGGTTACAGCCAGGCTAGTGATATAATATACATGGCGAAAGAAGTACTAGGAGCACTGAAAGTCCTATTACCAAAGACTACATTGGTTTGTTCAGAATTGCTCCCACGACCCCACTGGGCTTTTCAACCTGGTGCTTCACTTGAGAATGACAGGAGAACTATAAATGGGGTATTAAAACAATATATGGAATATAAAGGCCAAAAATTCCTAGAACACCCTTTTAATGTCAAGCATCAAGGTCTTTTTATTGGTAGAGGTGATTACTTAACCAATGTTGGTTTAGATTTATTCAATACCACTTTGATGGGCAGTCTGAAATATTATTTGAGGGATGAGCTGATGCATGGTAGTTAGCTTGTTTCCCACTTGATTGACATTCCCTCTCCTGTTGGCTGGTAACCTGAAACCAGTAAGTGGCTGCTACACAACTGGCCTGCCTATAATTAGGTTCATTCATGTGTTGGTCAATACAGGGAGGATTTATCAAATTGTCATCTTGGGGAGCTGCTGACATACCAATACATCAGTTGCTGAAATACTGTCATGTTGACAAAACGGAAGTTGAAATGGGGTGCAGTGTTATTGTGTCCATACAGTATGTATATTTGACTTGTTAGTTAGAGAGAGAGCTTGCAGATTAGTACAGGGAGAATTTTCATGCCTGTTTCAATTGATTTTTGTTTGTAATAAATGCAGGCTGATTGGCCTTTCATCGTTAAGTGGTGTTGTGTTTTTCATTTTGAAATGCAATATTTAACTCCAAAAAAAAAAAGTCATTTTGGTGGATGTGGGGAGGGATAGGGAAGAGGTATTGGTAGCAGCATGTCACAGTGCTGGAATGTGAGCAGTACTAGTTGTATCAGTGTGGATGTTTTTGTGAACTGCACTTAAAATGTGCTTATCATGTCAAGTGCTGAACATGAAATGCAGCATTACACTCGTACAAATGCAAATAGTCTTGCATGATCTATCTTGACTCATTAATTTTTGAAGTAGGGGTGGCATGGGAGCTTTTTTTCAAAAAAAAAAAAATGGTTGTTACTATCATTCTGGGGAGAGAGCAAGAGAAGAATTTGAGTTAAGTTGCAACTGTAAAAATGACAAATAGACCAAATAAGCTTTTTGGAGTGCAGAGAATGCATTTAAATGCAAGCGCAAGTTTAAATTGGCATGATTGCAGGTTAAACAACAGACTTGCAAATTGAAAACTACAGAACTATCTCTTTCAACAAAAACTCCAATGTCTTTTATCAAGACAGTCTGGGTAGTACCACTGCTGATCAAGCTAGTAAAGGGCAGAGTGCTAAAGGATATGCTGCTAGAATCGCCCTGTGGTTTCTTTACCCACCAAAGTAGCCAAAATCTACTTGATCTTGTCCTCAGTCTACCTCTGTAGATGTATCTGTCCTTTACGTATCGGTAGGTGTACCTGTTGCACAGTCTATGGAGACTAAATCTGGACTGGACATCCAAGTGGTGCTGTGGGTGATAGTATCACGAACCTTGTGGCCTAGCATATTCCCACACCCTGCTACTATCACCAAGATGGGATGAACCCATTTCAGTAGAGTGGAGAGGGAACACAGCATATTTAAAAGATGTCTGTCTGGTGATGGTACAAAGTGGGATTACTTGCATGAAATGTATTGGCTGTGGGTTCTGCAGACCTGTCATATTTGTAATGGATGAAGATGAATGTAATGAAATGAGAGAAGAAGCTCCATGCGAATCCCTATTTTCAGTGATGATGGAGTTCAAGGCTGAAGTATTGGTAAGCATCTTTTAACCAGAAATGCCAAGTGGACGTTCCATCTCAGCCTCTTGAGATCCCAAGTAGCACAGATTTGAGTGTTCAGCTAATATGATTCACTCCTTATGAGTGGCTGAAGGCACTGGCTGCTACAAAAGCTATGGCCTCTGACAACATGCTGGTAAAAGTAGTTAAGTTTTTGTGCTCCAAAGCTTGATCCTAGCCAAGATGGTCCAGTATAGTTAGGACTCTGTCGAGTATCTACCGCTATGGAAAATTGCCTGGGAATGACTTTATCCAAAATGCAGGGCAAATGAAACCTGCTCAATTTTCACTGCCTCAGTACCAGGAGATAATCATATTCAATGGCCTTAGTATAACTGTATCCCATACTGATAGCATCTGGTTACTACAGACCAGAAACCGAACTGGACCGGCCATTTAAATACTGTGTCTACAAGAATAGATCAGAGGCTGTAAATTTTATATGGTAAGTACTTTCCAGCGTGGTTGCAATTTAATTTGAAAGGCTTAATGTTATCCAGGACACACATGCACAATTGACTGGCACTGCATCTAACGTCTTCAATATCCACTGACTCCACTACTGAGGCACAGTAAAGTTAGTGTATGCCATTGACAAGATGCAATTCAACAACTCAGCAAGGCTTATCTTACACAGTCTACCAATGGCTTGACCTCTATCATCTTGAATATAAAGTTGTCATTGTCACACAGCTGCTTTATAATTAAAGAAATATAACTGATAGGGCACTTAATCTGAGAGTCACCACATCTCTGGAAAGAGAAAGGTTGAGAAGGCAGGAGCTTCAGGGTAACTTCAGTCAATATGGGAATCAAAACTGCAAAGTGTATTATTTTGCATCACAAATCAGCTGTCAGCCAACTGAGCTAACTGCCTCTAGAAGGGCAAGAGTGGCAGATGCATGGAAAATCCATCACCTGAATGTTGCCCTCTATATCACCATTCTGTCACTGTTCCTAGGTGACTCTGGAATAGTGGTTAAACATATGGACGTGCCCCTACTACATGGACTGTGGCAGTTCATCACTATCTACTCAAAATGATTCAAGATGGGTAAATAAATGCTAGCCTAACAAGTGACACCTATATTCCATGAACTGTCAAAGTAGTGCAAATCATTCATCTAGTGTTTTTTTTTAACTACCTTCAAGTAAGCCAGAGAAAAGTTGTTTTAAGTCTGGCAGTACTATAATTTTCGTTACCATCATTGCAGTTGCACAAAAGAAGCAAATCTAAAGTCATAGAATTGATGGTAGTATAAGACTATCAGGTTGATTCCGGAGTTGAGGGAGTTGTCTTATGAGGAGAGACTGAGTAGATTGGGATTATATTCATTGGAATTCAGAAGATTGAGGGGGGGATCTTATAGAAACATATAAAATTATGAAGGGAATAGATAAGATAGAAATAGGGAGGATGTTTCCACCGGTAGGTGAAGCTAGGACAAGAGGGCATAGCCTCAAGATTAGAGGGAGCAGATTTAGGACTGAACTGAGAAGGAATTTCTTCACCCAGAGAGTTGTTAATCTATGGAATTCCTTGCCCAGTGAAGTAGTTGACGCTACTTCAGTTAATGTTCTTTACAAAAAAAGGTAGATTTTTTTTTGAACAATAAAGGAATTAAGGGATACGGTGAGAACGCGGGTAAGTGGATCTGAGTCCACAAAAGGATCAGCCATGATCTTATTGAATGGCGGAGCAGGCTCGAAGGGCCAGACGGCCTACTCCTGCTCCTAATTCTTATGTTCTTATGACTAGAACTTGAAGTTTACTGCCACTTATATCTGTAAATAGGGGCTGAATCTTAATGCTTTTCGGTAATGATGTTTTTGTCAAGTCTCATGTTGGGTTTCTTTTTGGGAGGCCTAGCTAGTTTTCTTGCTGCATGTTACCAAGTTTGTTCAGTGACTACCTATTTTCCCCCACTACGGTGCCCCTCTTGCCCCATTCTATCACTCTCCATACCTGGGACAACTCACCACTGGTGGGATATTGTGAACTAGAATTAACTAATCTTTGAGAAGGCATTCTGCCCTGGTCAAATGCTGTCAGTCCAGAGGTGCCTTGCTCAGATCCTGATATTTGCCCCAAAAATGGCAGAGAAGAGAAAATTGATGCCCTACTTTACAGCTAGTAACCTGAGGCTATCTTGCTGGGAATGGAGGTGCAGAGGCAGGACATCCTGGTCCTTAGGATCACCAGACAAGGCCACAACATCAGACTATGCCAGCCTGGTCCAAAATTGCTGCCTGGGTCAGTGCAGTCTCGGCTGTCTGAAGGAATGTGAAGTAATGTAGGAAGAAGGTTAATTATCTTCACTAGTGTAAGTACTACCACTTCTTCTCCAATACCATACACTCACATTTACTTTGCTGAAGTACCCGTCACCTGCCCAGGCTCATGCTCTACCACCCTCACTATTGCCTGCAACATGTTCCCTCATTTGCTGTTACGCTTAGTTCTGACCACAATTAACCCTGCATGCCTTCTGTACTGCCTACTCATTTGCTCAGGATACCTCCCTGTCTGTACTGGCAGTTACAGTTATGCTACGCACTTTTCATCTCCCTGATACCCTCTGCCTGCCTGCCCACTCCACCACCCCCCACCCTTCAATTCCAGGAGGAAAACAGCCCATAAGAGGGCAAAAAGTGTCAAGACAGATGTTGGGCTGCCCTAAATTTGGCTCCTTGCCCCTTATGTGGAGAGGATCCTGATTCTGACTGTCTGTGTGGCTGGTTGACTGTTTCCAAGTCTCTGATCCGATACCGGAGGCTGCTTTGACTTACTATGCTGGCACCTGCTGTTTGAAGGTTATCTCCCTTGAATGAAGACTGCTGACAACTTGGATAAGCATCTTGGCTTTGTATCTATGCAAAGCAACATGGCAACACAGCACTAAAAATCTGGTGTCTCTGGCAGGGAGGCAAGGCGGCAGGGAGGCAAGGCACCAGGGATGCTGTGAGTTTTAAGGTAGGCTCAAAGTGATCAACCACTAAGACAGCAAGCAAACTGCCCAGAGATGCAGCATGATCCTGCCTCTGAGCTGGTTGCTTGTTCCTGAGTGCAAAGTGTCCTAGCATTACAATGATAGTTGCTGTTCCATCCTGAGATGCAGCATTGAATAACAAAATGTACCATAAGTAGATCAGAGGTATGCCATGCCTCTCTGACACATGTAGGATGCCATTGTCTGTGGAAGTGGGATGCCTGTGATTGGTGCCCATGGAGTGAGCCATCAGATGTTGGGATTGGTATCCAACATGGAGGTCTGTTGAAACAAATGGCAAGTTGGACTTGTCAGGTGATTTCCATGTCAAGAATTGTCAATGTCTAGTTACCTCACAGTGGATGCTAGGACAGAAAGTGAGATTTCTCACTACTGTCAATGTGAATCTTTTTTCAATATCTGGAACTTTACTCAAAGATGCAATGATTTACTCCCACCATCAAGAAAGTCTTCACTGGACTTCTTGCACAATTCTACTGGATTGCTCACCATAGCAAATGTCATTGAGAACCTTGTAAAATTCTGCCCCAATGTTAGATGTGGCTGAGAATAATAGCTGAGAATAATCTGGATTGACATTAATTGTGAGTCAGTCAAGAATGAATTGAATCTTATTTTTATTTTCTTAATTATGAAATGTGTACAGACAAAATTAAATCAATGGAACTTCCAATTTGAATCACCAGAAGATTAGAGATTACAGATTACAGAGCTTGACTGGTAAATCTTACCTTGTAACAAACAAGCATTTAAGCATGAAAATTTACCTTATTCTTTTTAGAAATTGGAATAATTGCATATGCCATTATGTTGCTTTTAATTGTAAATGTTTTTAATTGACCTGTTCAGATAGATGATAATACAACTTTGTAACACGTGGGACTGGAACCAGGACACTGCACCTCAAGAACCT